TTTTTTTTTTTTTTTTTTTTTTTAATTTTATTTTTATACTATAATAAATATATTGTATTGTTATTAATATGTTCGCCTATATTTCATAAATTATTCTTATGTATTATGTTTATTGTTTTAATTTTCTGGTGGTGAAAAGACCTATACGTATACCTATCTATTTATACGTTATATATAAGAACCTATATTATATTATCATGGTAAAATATATAATTTATTACCGCTGTTGAGGTAGGCATATTGTTATATTTTTTTTTTTGGAAGACGGAGGGACTAAGACACTCGTATAATATTCTCATAAACGTATCATCTCTCTCTAACTCTCTCTCTCTCACTCTCTCTCTACAAAACAACAAAACGATATAATATAATATTATTATGCCAAACTCATTATGCCGGCGGCGGATTCGATTTGTTTTGGTTTTCTTTTTGAAATCTTACTCGAATAATACTGATAACCAGAGTGAGGTGGGAAAAATCTGGACCCACTCCCTCCCCGGAATTCACGGTAGTCTTGCGCAAGTTTAGCAGATGATTTATAATATTAAATTGTGATCGGATACCGGTTCGCGTCCACCCCTTTAAAAAATGAGCTTCGGACCTGCCGTCGATAAACCTACCGCAGCTCTCTACAGCACTCGGGTACCTACGTGAAATATTGCGTGTAAAAACATATAGCATAATAATAATAATAACGTTAAAATAAGTATGCGCCGGTAAGTATACTATTGAGAGTAATGGTCAAGACGAGCGCGAAACGAATTGATCGATAAAAATTGTCTTTTGATATTATTGTCATCACGCACCGGACAACACATAGTTTGTGTTAGTTTAGTTTATTTTTTTCGTGTATCTGTAAACAATTAAAAAAAAATGAAAATTTATATGGAGTGGCGTTTACTGTGTTTTACAAACGACCGTAGGAAGTAGCTATATTACGTATGTAAAAAATAAAAAAAAAAAACATGACAAATATTACGAATCGATAATGCAAATCCTCGTCACGTTATTATTCGTAATATTTTTTGTGTATCTACCCGGTAATTTTATATATATATATATAGTGAAATAGTGTCGTGACATTTTCGACAGTCCCTGTACATTATACAGGGCATATCAGCTGCAAAATGTGACAGTTTCCTATAGATACACCCTGTACAATAAAGCCGGTCGCAGAATATTATACGCAGTGTTAAACCTCAAAACAGTCCTATAGATGTGGCGCTCGGAACACAATCGTATACGAGTGTTTTTGTCTCGTTAATAATAATTATAAAATATATGTATATATGCATAATATAATAAAATAAATAATAACAATAATAATATAATAAAGTGCAAAGTAAAAAATAAAATTATATTTTTCGTTTCGTACATAACATTACACATCATATACACTACACACGCACATACAATATTGTACATATTGTATAATATATAATATAATATTATACATTATGTAAAACGCGGTTTTAGTACAAGAAAAAAAAAACAAATGCCCTGTATGGCTTAAATGTAATCACAAAAAAATATATTATATATGTATGTAATTAAATAATAATAATAATAAAAAAAAAAAAAAAAAAAAAAAAAACGCATGCAATTTATTATCAAAATTGGGTATAACATAATATTATACACCAAATCATAACATAAGATGAAAAAAAACAATAATAATGATTTTTAGTTTTTATTTTAAGTAAACCTCGATTTATGTTGCAAAAAAATGCAAGTACAAGTTTATAAGATTATATTAACTGGCGAGATCCATCGATAAATTTTCCAGTATAACAATTTATTATTTAAAAAACGAAAAAAAAAAAAAAAATGAAAAAATGAAAAAAATGTTTTTCTTCTTAATATTGTCATATTATTTATACTAATAAAATGTTCTAAGTTTCTAAAAAAAAAAATTTTAAATATATATTTCATTTATTATTTAATGATTATTACGTATTTCCTATACAAAGGCTGACTTACTTAATAAATAATGCATTAGTATTATATCGAAATGGTAATTTATAAAATATATCTATATAATATTATTATATTCAAAGAAAAAGAAAGAAAACATTATTTCGCGATTATTGCAATAATAGATTGTTCCGGTTTTTTTTTTTTTGAGGTACTTATATTTATCATTGTTTTAATAAATTATTATCATTAATATTCTATATGAGAGCATGCAGATTGTAAACAAAAGTGAACCCCTAAAGGAAAAAAAGGATACCTGCAATTACATAATATGTAAGTACTAATAATGATTGTATCCGGGGAGATTCTATATTTACAAAATATTTTATTTGACTTCAAAAAATCGGATTTTATTAGAGAAATTTATTTATTTATTTTTTTTTGTTTTATAGTTTTATAGTTTTTTTTTTTTTATACCTATTCGTATTTTAAGAAAGGTTTTATAGTTTGTTTTTCATATTGCTGTTCACAGAACACTTGATTTTGTTTTTTTTTTTTTTGCAAACACATTAACGTAATGGATCCGATTGTTTTGTGAAAACGAGAAAAAACAATTATTTCTGTATAGTATACGAGCAAATATATCATACATAAGTATATTTTCTGTGTAACCTAACCGTAATATATTATAAATATAATATGTATTTAATCATTATTATTATCAATGGACTCTATATATATATATATATATATACATCATATACGCACAAATAAGTATATTATAATATATTATAAATATAAATATTATATAAGGTCTAATCCTCTCATTGGTAAAAATATTTTTTATTTGTTTATTAAAAAATTTTTTTTTTTTTTTTTAAAAAAAAAAAAAAAAAGAAAAGAAAAAGGTATGTAAAAAAAAAAAAAAAAAAAATTAATACTAATACTTGCGGCGATGAATCACACAATGTACGATAATATTATTTTATCGTTTGTTATAATTTTTCCAATCATCGTATCGATATTTTATTGTTATCATATACAACTCGTAATAAATTCCCTACATATTACACGCGAATAATACGCAAGTACAATACACGGTATTAAAGATTTTGCCTGATTCTCTTTTTGTAGCGCTATATGTGTAAATCACGAACCCGATATTTATTTTTTTTTTTTTATGCATATTTTGTACGCATTTTAACGATGCGCACGCCGGGGTACTCGCATGATATGCGATTTTCGTCGGGACAGTAAAAACAAAAAAAAAAACAACTGTAGTGCTACGGCGGAAGAACTCTCTAAAAATAATTTCCTATTCGGCATACCGTACCTGTACACACCGAACTGCCCGCCGCGACCCCTGTCGGTCAACACTGCATCCTATCAACCTATCCACGTGCCTACCGACGTGCGTGACGAATTATCGCGTAACGCGCGCGTGACACGAACGGCGGCGGCCGGCCGTACGGCGCGAAGACCGGGGTGCGGGGCGCGCGAGTTTTTCTCGAACGGAGACAGGAATCGATAAAGTATAAGTAATATTATGTTGCGGGCGGAGAAAAAAGGGGCCACAGGGGTAGGGAACGACGCGAACAGAGAACAGAGGGAAAAAAAAAAAAAAAAAAAATATAACGATGCGGCGGGGGGGACGAGGGGCGGTGGTAGGGGAAGTTTGTCTGTGACCGCGCAACGACAACGATACAACAATACATATTATATACTTGCGGTTAAGCGGCCGTCGGCAAAGTGGGGAGGGGGAGTGAGGGAGGACGTTGTTAACCGTGTTTCGCCATCATCGTCGTCGTCGCGGATCAGTTGGCCACCAACAGATGCTGGTAGGGGCTGGACCTGTACGACGACGACGACGATCCCAATCCCTGCATGCTGTTGTAGCTGTCCTGCATTTTCGGTTGTTGCTGCTGCTGCTGCTGTTGCTGCTGTTGCTGCTGCTGCTGCTGCTGTTGTTGCTGTTGGCCCGGACCTCCGATGGCGGCGCCCACCGCGGACTGCAGTTGCTGTTGAGCAGCAGCTCCGTAGTTACAGGCCGGCGACAGCGGTCCCATGGGCGAGCCGCCCGCAAAGTGTCCGAAGTCTCCAACGCCGTAATTCTGCCAACCGCCGGTGCCGTTATTGCCGTATTGCATCGATGGCGCCACCGGTGCGTAATCCGTCATGCTGTTCCGGTTGTGATGATGGTACCCGGAACCGCCGCCGTTGGACTGCCGGGGCCTCTGGCCGTAACCTCCGGCCTGTCCGTTGTACTGGTGTTGCTGGAAGAAGTAGTTGGACGCCGCGTCGCCGCCGTTAGGCTGGCCGCCCCGGTGCTGATGGAGGTGTTGCGCCGGTGACGCGGGGCGTTGCTGCTGTTGGCCACCGCCGACCATCTGTTGCTGCTGCATGGCCGCCCGCTGCTTGATGTAGTTGGCGAACTCGGTGGGCGACATCCTGCGGAAAACGATACGAACATAAGTATTAACCGTGGTCGCGGGGCTTCGGCGGAACGCTCGCTCGCGCAATCTTTTCTCTCGCCTTCGCTCGTTTGCCAACCGCTCTTTTCGCGCGGCCCCCTCCCCCGTATAAGCCGTCGTAAACCCCTACTCCCCGTTCCAATCGAGACAATTTTCGCCCTGGCGCCGTTCCGTACAACGGACTTTCTACTACCAAGCTGAACGCTTTTCAAACACTGACGTAAAGACATTTAGATCGCGAGAGTGCCGCGTCACATTATAACTATTTGTGCTACGCCAGAGCGCGCGGATTTTCACAATCAGTTTTCGACGAAATGTCGCCCCTTAACCCCTCGAAAATGTTCTCCGACCGTATACCTGCGCCGCAGGGCGTGTTAATATAACATTAAGGCTCGCAGGTACTTTCTACCGTTTTCCTCCCGCGGCCGTTTTTTACGTATAAAATACAACAAAACTAAATAGGGTACCCATACGTTATGATAATATAATAACAATAATTATTTGAAAATAAACTTTATGTTCTCTCCGCACGCATTGTTTCGGTGATTTTTTTTTTTTTTTTTTTTTAAGTATAAAATATATCGTTTTGTAGTTTTTTAAACGTTCCCGTCCAACCCTCCGCGTGCGTATCGCGATAAGGCCGACCCGTTAGATTTCCCGCACCACCCCGTATAATTCGCCGGTTCCCAGGGGGCGTGTTTTTGTGATGTTTATGATTATTATTTTTTAAATTATTATTTTTTTATTGCGCAGGGCGGCCGTTAATATTACGAAATCTCGATAACGACGAAAATGATATTCGCCAGCTCGCACGCGTATTTAAATCGCAACGGATTTTCCCGACCTTACCCAACTTACAAAAAATTCCATTTACGCGCGGAACGTTGAACAATAATCGCATAGACCTCTGACCCCGTATAATAGAATAAACACGTCTCGGCCAGATTATCCGCTCCGTCTGCCTCCGTAAATACAACGGTAACCACACGTCACTGCGAGACTGACGGTCAAACTACAATGTAATCGAGTAGAAAAAATATAAAAATATTATACGTGCGAGGCGTTTCTTTCGTTCAAGGGATTTCGTCGGGGCCTATTGTTCTATTTTTTTTTTTTTGTTTTTCATTCGCCGTTGTTTGGTGCCGACCGTGAAAAATTTAACACCCTATGACCGCGGGCGACACGGTTTTTTCGCCACGTACCTCTACGCCTCTGCGTTGGCGCCCTGTCAACAATTCGTACGCGGAAAAACACACACGCACAACATTAAATATTTGTGCCGTTGCCCGTTTTATTATAATAAACGTGCACTCGTCGCATAACGGCGGGTGTCCGACCCGGTCCGTACGTAGGGCCGACGGCATTTTCGGTATACCTACCTGTAATAATAGACAGTCGGGCCGTAAAAATACCGATCGAAATTTCAAACATCGCCCGCCCCGATCAAATGCACGCACCGACTTCCGCTGGGACGCGTGTCGGAAATGACGTTAACGTGTTGTCCGCAACACGATTATTTCGGACGGGATCGTTTTGGTAGTTCGGGGCGCGCGCCCGACGGAGGATAGTTGAGAAAAAAACCGCGATCGATTCGACTAGGTATGATAATAATATTTGGACGACGAACGCGCGGAAAAAAGTGGCGTGGACAAAACTCCAGAGGTCCGCGGGCCTCGGATCAAGCTCGGATATAGCCCTGGCGCGACGTTATCTGAACGATATTATAATATCATAACCAAGACCGGGAATTTCGGCCGCAAAGTTATCTTATAATTATTATTATTACGAGTGATTTGAATTTTTACGACGGACGGTTATCATATTATGGTTAATTTCGGAATGCTACTGCGCATCACTGTAGACATGGAATAATTGAAATCGCGTTGTGCCATTGAATTAGTCCTAGGCACGCGCGCTTATCACGCCCATGTGTTTAGAGGACGTGCATAAGCATCTAGAACTTTTAAGGGGTTGCGCGTAGGCAATTTTCTCGAAATCCGGTCAACTCTAAAATATAAAACTTCAATTACATTTACAAGTAGCGCTGCGTGTCGTGATCACGAATAATTATTGTGTAGCCGTGAAATTAATAAAACTATTTACGAAAAACCGTTTCGCGTGGGCAAAAATTACTCGGGACTACTCGGCGCATAATTAAAAAACCGAATCTTCACAGTAAAACAAAGAGAACTCGCACTGTGCAACGTTGCTTTTCGTTATAAATATTATACGAACAAAGTTGTAAGAGTTCGGAGAACTTAAAAATATTTTTAAATAATAATAATGACTTTTTGTTTGTATTTTTTTTTAATATCAAAGAGATAAAACCAAAACGTCGCACAAATACAATAAAGTTCTCCTTGTTCTACCGAGGGCTTCCGACAAATTCCCCATTCTCTTTTTGTTTTCGGGACCGTAAAATGATTTATTTTCGACGCCATCTGATGTATACAGAGTGTCCCACGAAAATATACCCACCGCGATATCTCAGAAAGTATTAATTTATTAATTTATTGAAAACTTCACAAATGGATGGATTATTAGTTTAAACGTATTTTCGTGTTGAAAATGATTTAAAATGACAATTAATAGTCTTTATACACCACGAAAATAATAGCGACGAAAAATAATGTACGCGTAATATTTTAGAGCCGCTTGTGTTTTAAATGGGCCAGACCCGTTTAGCCCAAACACATTTTAGCCATTTAAAAATTAATTCGATTGCTACTTTCTGAGATACCCATCGGGATAGGCGTATAATCTTCGCGGGACACCTTGTACACTGCAGCAGTGGTCTTAAATGCGAACCCTCCTGACGTGTCCCGCAATAAAAATGTACAAGGCGATTTTTAAAATTTCTTTTTGTATGCGATTCGCATAGTATAACGTCAATAACCAATAGCCATAATATCGAATTTTATATCCGTTGTTCTTGGAGAATATGTGTCGAGTATTCATAACGAATCGATAGGCGCAATCGGGGCAAAAAAAGGGCCCTCCCCCCCCAAAAAAAACAAAAAAACAGATATATGTTTCGCCGGCGATTCGAGTTCGAGACCGCCGCGCGCGCACAATTACAGTACGGGCGACCGCGGCGCGGGAAATCCGCGAACGTTCACGGCGGCCGCCGTCGAGTGTGCGTAAATATCGGCACGCGGTCCGTGCGTGGCGGTGTCGTGGCGTCGGTCGGTTCGCGGCGACCGACCGACGGAACGACCTCTAGAACCGCGCGCGGTTTTGTAAATTATTTTTTACAAACGTGCGCGGTGCCGATTTAATTCGCGTGTCCGATCGCGCGCTCGGGCGATTGTGCGCCGGATAATACGTGTACGACGGCGCGTGCGCGCGTGCACCGCGAAACAAACGAAACACGGTAAAAACGAATAAAAACACCGAAAAAAAAAAAAAAAAAAAAAAACCCCGAAACAATGTAGTGCGCAGAGTTTCGTGTCGAAAATTCGCACAGGCCCCCGGCGGTTGTTATTTTGTTTGCAGGCTTACCGTAAGCGCGCCGCGTAATAATTGTGCCCGGGGCCGGTGGTGCGCGCGAGGGGCGTTGGCGGAAATCGAAAATGACAGCCGTTCGCCCCGAAATGATTGTCCGTCTTGACCAATACTCCGTGTATTTGTGGAATTTGTAATGTAAGGCGGCTATTCGAAAATCAAAAGCGAGTTTCAGCCCCGAGACAATACGGATAACAACGTGTAACGGCGATGTAACATTTTAGAGCTATTTGCTTGAAAAAAAAAAAAAATTCCGAAAAAGTAAACACTTTCCGAGATGACGAGTGTCTTAACCGACGATTACGCTGTGAATAACAGTGCAAATGGAGAAAAAAAAAAAACGTTTTCCTTACATCTGCGGCTCGTCTGCGACAAAAACGCAAGCGATGGCGGCGCACATTTGAGATTTCACAGTGCACAAAGTGTGTCGATAGGTGCACCCGAAAATAGCCGCTCCGTAAAGCGCGGTACGCGTTACGCACAATTTTCCGTGGGGAAGAGAGAGGGGTCGCCGAACATTCGACACACAACCCCTTATCCGCATACTCGAGTCCGGCACATATTGCTGTGTAATCAGGGGTTAGGTTAGGCTAAAACTGTTCTTGTAAACGGGGGAAAAAGAATAAACGAACCGAACAGGTATAGTACAGTTTCAGAGCTCATCCCGTCCGCCGAGCGATCCGAGACTTTATATTTACGACCAATACTACCTAACCAATAACCGAAACCAGACATAATCAACGGAATATTCGGTACGTTTTCGCATACCGAGTCGAAAATTCAAGCGCCGGCCGGACGGAGGGGGCCCTTTCTGGGATTTTGAAAACATTTTCTTTTAGCGATGGACGCCTCGTGTAACATAAGGAACCCACGTGCTGAATTTCGAGTTTCTAAACACTGTGTCGCGTGCAACCCATTTTTCCTTTCACTCTCACAAGCGTGGCGCGTAAATCGCGTCATTTCCGCCTACTTTTCTAGAAAATCAGTGAACTGCAAAAACCTGTTAGCTCGCTTGTTGTTGGACTTGAGTTTGGTGCTGCCGAATTTCGTTTGCGCGAACGACGCCGTGGTGAACGTTAGCGGCGCGGACGGTTGCCGGCACGGGACGTAAGCGCCTCCGGCTGCGACCACCGAGCCTGCACCGCCCGCAACAGAGCCACCGCTACTGCCGCCGCCGTTCGGACTCCGCGATTGTAGATGTTGTTGTGACTGGTGGTGTTGGAGCGACTGTTGGAGTTGGAGCGCCTGCTGGACGCTGGCACCGCTGCTGCTGCCGACACTGCTGGTGCTGCTGATGCTGCTCGTGCTGCTCGCACTGCTACCGCCCACCGCCATGGTACTGCACGCCTTGCCGAACAACAGCGAGTTGTTCTGTTGTTGATGGAGCTGGAGCTGGAGCTGGTGATGCTGATGGTGATGGTGGTGTTGGTGCGTCGGTGACGAGTGGTTAGAACCGCCGCCGCTACCTAACGGCGGAGAACCGGCCGAACACTTGTCCGGTGGCGAAATGCTCAATGAACTCAGGCTGGATGCCACCGAATCGATGGGCCGGAAACACTGCGCCTCGGGGTTGAACGTTTTCACGACCTGTGGAAAATAGCGTGACATTATTACAACGCATTATAGTGAACTACAAAAAGAGGGGAAATGTGAAGGGGAATTGAATAATAATGTGCACATAATTTACTCGGCACCTCTATACTTATTGTACTATATGATGACGTTATTATGCTATTTCGACTAAATAGAACGTTGGCATATGATTTTCAAAGCATTCATCACTTTGTTTGTACTAGATCTTGAAATGTCCCAAAATAAAAGACGGTCTGATTAAACTTACACTATTGTTTTTCACCAGCTGTGCCATAAAAGTCTACTCGATTCGGTATTTCGGGCTCGCGTTCTCAAAATTCGAATTGTTTAAATTGCCAGTCTTTAATGTATTACAGGTACCGTGTAAGAGTAATGATTCGAAAAAAACGATAGTAATTGAACGACAAATAAATAATTCAATAAAACATTTATTCCAACATCATCGCTCGCCGCAGCTGTTAATACTGTTAACAAAAAAACCTCATGTTCGAGTTCGTTGCTTTTTATACAGACGTATTGGGTAAAGTCGAATTGCATTTGGATGAAAAAAAAAGGCGATGGCCGAACTCCACGTGGGTCAAAAATAGGCATTTTAACAATAATGTTCGGAAAAATCAATTAAACGTAAAAGTTTTGAAAACACTAATTTCCCATGGCACCAACCATTGGCGTGACTAAAGAACGGTTTTTTGAACTTGTTAAATTATTATTTTTATTCAATGAAATCATATTTTTGTAGAACCGGATAAACGATACGAAACTAAATTTAAAAGGTAAAATTATACAGGTGATATAGAACTGCTCAGCCTAAAACGGAAGTCTTCGAAAAATATCGAACGGATTTTACAGCGTTCGCTAATTATTACGGAACACAGATAAAAATAGCTGAGTGAGCAATACATATTTTGTTTTCTGCACCGGCGACTCCATATATGAAATTTTATATTGTTATTTTTTGCATAAATTTAATCTCGTTTATATTGAATTAAAAATAGTCTGTAAAATAGCCACATTTTCGTGTTACATAGATTACAATCTATTTTTGAGGAGCTCAGCCCATCGAACAGTATACGTGTATAACTTCTCGTTGGTTGTATTTATTTATTTTTGTCTAGAATATTCTCTCCTATGTATTTCAAGTTTTTTTTTTTTAAATTGTTAACAGACCGGAAAAACATTTTTTGTTTTGTCTGTGTTGTTTTGTATGTTTTTATGGCATATTATAGCGCATATTTCGGTTATTTTCAGTGCAATAAAATCGGACACGACTATGGGTGTGACAAGGGGCGGGGGTGGAGATATAGTTTCGGTTTTCCGGAATCCCTGTGTTCAGTCGGGCCTTCGACGATATAAATATTATCTCAATTATTATTATTGTACACGGACAAGGCGATTTCGTGACGTCACGACAACCATATTATTATAATACACCGAAAACACGGTTACCATCAGCAGAAACAAGCTCGGTTTTAACCACGATTATGTACATGCATACTTGTACACATAATGCCGAAGCGCGTTGTGTACGCATACTCGAAGGGATTAAATGTTTTAGTTTCCACCGCATTGTTCGTCTGGTCGCACACATACCGTATAATATACACGTATATGTTCCTCGTATTATAATGATGTGTAAGTACACTCTCGAAACGTTTTCAAACTTACGCCCGTGTCCGTAAATATATATATACAGACAACAACAACATATTGTATTATACATAATATATTACATACGATGATTCCGGACGAATTTCCCGCCGCGTTTTCCATTAGAACAAGTAAAAAAAAAAGGACGTGTCTTTTAATCGCGTTATGAGCTTGCAGGTATGTTATATAGGTATACCTAATTTCGTCGGCGGCCAGATTAAAAATAATCACGCCGCTATACCGTATTAAATTATTACGGTTATTGCGCAATAATACGTTATAAACGGTCGTTATAAGTCGGTGTATATGCAAGTGCGCATAAATGGAAAAACAAACGAAAAAATTATAAGGCCGATACCGCCGCAGATGGGTGTGCCACTACTGTATTTTAGGAGGAGAGTCGTTACAGGGAGGATACGGAGATAGGAATTTAATTTATGTCTTTACATACACGCAACGATAAACCGTCACACAGTGTTCGAAAACAGAGATTTGCCGGTCATAATCAAAATATTTCAACCTTTTTTTTTTTTTTTTAGTTACCTGAATGTGAAATTTTTATTCCTTAGTCAAATAAGAATACATTTTCGTTACTTTTAATAACAATAAGCAGACTTTTATAGGGTGTTGTAAATTTTGGTAGAGTGTTTAAAAAGAAAATATTTGTAAATCGTTAAATCGAAATACACCATTTTATAAGTGATCGACAGCTTTTTAAAAGTAATTTACTCGCCCAATTGTAAATATTATATTATCTTAGTAACGGTAAAATAATAATAAAAAAAAAATTTTAATATTTGCGCCACGATCAGAGTTATATTTATGTATAACAGAAACTATAGTGAATACTAAGGTCTAATATTCAGTAGCTCCAAGTTGCCCCTAAATAAATAAATATTTGTTTTATCACGTATTTGTTTTTTATAAAATCACGGAATGTCATCACAAACAGTTGTGTAACTATCGATCTCGTAATTTTCATCACTTTCACTATCGCTATCTTTATCTGAAAATATTATGAATTCAATCATTTCAGTTGTTGGTGGTTTTCTTTTATTTTCTTTAATATATAGTGAACGTACAGGTGGGTCTGAACTTATCATAAGACGTTGAAATAAATCTCGATTGGTACATTCTCTTGACCTTTTCCGTGTGTATTTTAAATTATAGAAATTTGTATTTATTGAAAAGGTTCCGAAGACTGGGCAAGTAAAACTGTAACTAGTTCGAAGAAATATTCTAGATAAATGTAATTAAATTTCTCTGATATTTTTATAGGTAGATAAACAAAACTACTATCAATAACAACAATAGGTACTTAGTACGAACACTGTAAACGATAACAACCTATAATTTTATGCAGACACGTACACAAAAAAAAAATTTAGGGGAGGTTCTTATAAAATTTATATTAATCAATATTCATAAAAAAATATTAAGTTTAAATAAATAAATTACAAAACTATTAATTTTCGGGGAGGGGGGGGGGGTTAAACCTACCCCGCATACGTGTCTGATTTTATGTAAGACTGATGCAATGCCAAATTTGCGGTGTTTTAATTTTATTATAATATTCTATAAGTTATTTGATTTAGCATAATATATTTCGAAAAATTTTTGGTGGGGGAGGGGGTAAACCTTAAAATTTTGATAGAGCAGTTCTTTACTATTATAATTCCTATAATTTTAAACGGTTTGTTATAAATGTTATGTTTTAATAATTATGACCGGCAAATTTCTGTTTTGGAACACTGTGCGTCGTTAACGAAATAATCATAATTTTTCCCCTTCAGTCATCATGTAATATCCAAAAATCAACAATAAAGAGACAATAAAAAGACATAGACTTCTTTATGTCGCGTAGATAAAACTTGAAGGGGATGGAAGGTTTTTAAATATATTTAGGTTACTCGGTACGAAAATTATTTTTATTAAATTATGAATTGTCTTAGTAACACGGATGAAATGAAATAAAATTACAAACAGAAATAAAAATGCCATAACAACTTTAACAATTTAAAATAAAGAATCTATCTGGCTGTCTGCCGGTCAATTATTGGCTTGAAATAGGATGGGTTGCCTTGGTAACATGGATGAAAAAAAACAAACGAAAAACTACGCGCAGTACTGGGCGGGTAAGTGAAAAGTTAAAAAACGTAAAACGTCATATTTGAATCTGTGTATTTTTTGGTACAGTAACGCAGTATTACAGTATTGTTATGCCCTCGTAAATTTAGCGGATATATAGTTTAACCCTTGTAGTGTGCGGGTACCTATGGTAACCCGGATGAAAAAATATATGACACACTAGAACGCTTTTAGTCCGCCGTATAAGCATCTATTTTTTTTTTTCGTTCAATATACGGGCAAAGCAAAACGGGAATAAAAGTAAAAAGAGTAAAAAATTGGTTCCGTTATCGGTACTTATGTTGTATTATTTTCGGATTCTTATGTTCTTCGTGTCGGTGCCGGGATATTACCGCGGAAAAAAAGAAAAAGAAAAAAGTACAACATTATACGCATCGCAGGTATACAACGACGTAATATACGGTGCGTGTCAATGTCCGATAACGAGTAACCCCGTAACCTGCGACTATAATGCTACTGTATACGTACCTAAACATTATAATATTATAATATACACATTATACCAGGTGATCCATTTAAGTGGGTTCACTCATTATCTCGGAAATCATTAACTTTTTCCGGAATTTGTTCTCTAGAAAATTTAACAAACGAGCTGCTCCGCAATTTTATATTTGTGTTGTTTTTTGTCACCCTTATTTTCGGGGGTAAAACAACTACCTACTGTTGATTTTCAAACGACAACCTATATTTAAAAGTCCATGAATAGATTGAGTGTTAGTTAAAATAAATTTTGATGTTGAAATGTTTGATTTCTGTCGAGCCGTTGACGACATACACCACTTTTAATTTTAGGTTGGAGGAGAGTAGTAGTGCATTATTAACACGCCGCGCGCCGTACCGCCACACAACACTCTCCTCCAAACCAAATTTAAAAGTGGAATATCTCGTCAACAGATCGATGGAAATCAAAAATTTCAACACCAAAATTTATTTTAACTAATATTTCATATATTTATGAAATTTTTAATATAGGTGCCATTTGAAAATTTTAAAAGTAGGTAGTGGGTAGTCACCCCCCAAAAAAGGGTGACAAAAAATAACACATGGATAAAATTGTGGAGCAGCTTGTTTCTTAATTGTACTGGAAAAAAAATCCCGGAAAAAGTTAATACTTTTCGAGATAATGAGTGTACCCACTTAAATGGATCACCCGGTATACTGCACGACGCCGATTTACATGTTATAGAAATTCGTTTGAAAACAATATTCTGTTTCGGGTACCAGCCACAATATGTTTTGTTTGGCATTAATATTGTCGTTCTATATCGGTCGAGTATTATTGATAAATCGGCCTTCCTTTTTTCCGGACGGTATATTACCGGATTAATAAGTTGTCCGCGTACTGTATTTCCCGAATAGTATTTCAAAAACTAATAATTACAATTACATAATTTATTATCATTCAGAAGGTATTGAAGGGCGCACCCGTAATCCACGGCGATAGACCGGCTCATACGAAATCCTGCTGAAAATCCGACCGCCGTAGGAGTAAATAGAGACTGAAAATACATAGAAGCTGAGCTCTATATGGTTTTAAACCTATAATATTAATATCAAGTAAATTACTTCAAATATTACTGTGATGGTTCAGGGAGGGCTAAGCTCTCCTAAGCCCCCTACCCCCTTGTTTAGAGTCTACGTCTATCGCTTTAATCGCTTTAGTCTACGTTTATCGGCTGAATGCTATATGCGGGATACGTACTATTATAGTCGAGAAAAATACCGGGAAGCAAATCGACCGTGGTTGAACGAAATCGCTGAACATTTACTGCGAGTCATTACGAGTCATAGTTTTAGAATATTAAACCCGGATGGAATTTAAAAAAAATTTTAGAAAACCTGAACTTGCGAAAAAAATAACAATTCAAACGGGGGTTTTTTTTTAAAAAAAATATTTTGTATGGAATTTAAACTATACCGCGCACAGGGTGGCATAATATTACAATACGCCATGGTTTCGTGTGATTTTTCTTCTCTCTTATTCTACCGAACGTCAAGTGCATAACCGTCATTCAAATGCCCTTTAATACTCGGAATACACTTATTTATGTTTATCATTATTATAAGTTTGTCGTATATATTATAAGCGTACCTCTCTGTCGGCGGTCCGATCGTCGTGGGCGTCAAACTGGATGCCGCCGCCGTTCTCGTTGTACAAGATTTTGACGGCGCCCTTCTCGCCGATCCGATAGCTCACCTCGCCCGGGTCCACCCAAACAGCCAGGTCTTGCGGCAGGTTTTCCAGGATGTCCTGTATGGCCACGCCGCTTTCCCGGGACGCCTTCTCGAACACCGGGTCGATGGGCGATCCCGTCTTGATGCACCGGTACGCGGAGCCGCGGTACGGTTTCTCCGGGTACCAGTGGCCCGCGAACTTCTCGGTCAAGCATTTTTCCAGCTCCTCTCCGAATATGTTCACTCGCCGTCTGGGCAGCTTGTTGTACAGGTACGAGATAACAAAGTTCAACGCTACGCTGACCTCGATGTGCATCTTGATGACGTGCGATTATACTGTAAATAAATAAAAAAAAAAAAAACGTCAGTTATGTATATTAATCGTCGACGATTTGATTTTTTTTTTTTTTAATAAGTAGACAAAATATTGTTTATTAAATTACGATGTAGCCAATAAATAAGCTCCCTTATATGTTCCCTTTGCCTCCACCAACTATCTTGAAAATGAACCCATCGGACGTACGGTGACGAATGCCAATGTCGGCCCTTGGTTTCTTTAGATTTTTTTTATACAATACCCGTCTAGTTAAGAAGTAACGAATAGTAAGCAGTGAGTATTAAGCTTCAAGTAATAAATTGTAACAATTAACGTGTATACGCGTATAATGTATGCGTATATCGTGTTCGAGAGGGTTATCGCGTATATTTAATAAAAATAAAATAACGTTTTATATTATTATTAATATTATTCGGCGAACGGAAAATACATGGGTATAGTTAATTTGGATATGTGTTAAAGGTGAACTGCATGCACCGTGCATAACATCGACACGTCTTTGTAAATGCGCATGTATGTAGAATTCGAAAGAACACGACAAATCTATATAATGTAATCAACGTCGACAAAATATATTCATGTATGGACATTTCGCAGTCATATTATATTATTATACTGCGGCAGAGGTGATTTTTTTTTCTAGATTCGGAGCGTATTTTTTTTTTTTTTTGATGAGGATATCCTCCATATATATATATCATAGGTGGTTATTATTTCCGCGCGTCCGGTTTCCTACGTATATACCTAACCTATCCGGGTATACGCATAAATACATAATAAGATCGGCGGCCGACAACTGGGAATCGATAAGCCGGGTATATAATATAATTTATGATTTTATATACGTCATATGGGAACCGATCACGAGTGTTTTTGACTTTGACGTGCGCCGGCCGTCCACAAGAAAGTTTCGGAAAACGCGAACGAGGAGCGCGTAAACACGCGAGATGGCCGCGGCGTTTTATCACCGAGAACCGTTTTTATTAATATTTTGTTGTTTTCGCGGACAAAATCGCGACTGTTTATAGCGTAATACTTCCGTCGCTTAGCTCAGAATTTAAGAAGTTCCGACTTTTAGAGAGAAATCGGATCGTTATTCTTTGTAAAACAAGCGACGATGGTTTTGTATACCGCGTTCAGTTTTATTCGCAGAGCAAACCGCAAGATTGTACACATCTTATCGTCTACAAACGAATATTTGATTTTTGCGAATTTTATCGCTGTCCTTGGTTGACACAAATGAAAACGGGCACAATTGAACGCGTAAACGATTGTTTGATGTTTGGGACTACGATGTGCGAGTATTCGGGCTGAACAAAATACAAGTTAGTTCACGTCAGTAGAAAACTAAACACGTGAAGCAAACTCTGCACTCAAGAAATATTAAGTGTGCATTTTTATGATAAAAAAAAATATATGATAAAATCATTATTTTCTCCTTTGTTCCAGAACAATTTGTTTTTATTAATTTTTCCCCGATACAAGCAAACGTCAAAGCTCTACAGTGTGAACCCTCCTTATTCCGCGGGCGACTCGTTGACCCAGAAACGCGCGAGCGGCTGATTCGAGTGATGTGTACAGCAGCAAGGGTCGTTTCCATCGCAGAACAAGCCACGGACTAAAATTGTTTTATTATTGTAATTCCAAAAATACACGGGTGGTCACGGGCCGATCAGAAACGTCCAAGGATTATTTTGATAATATATTATTGCAGTGCAGAATACTAAACCGATTTCAGACGGCATAAACATTACTATAGTGAAAGACGCTTCCGAATAATTTACACTATCGATAGTTTTCGAAAGTCTAGATGGACAATTGAATATTTTTCTCCGTGACTGAATGCTTTTATTCGGATGAACTATAAAATATTTGAAAAAAAAAAAAAAAAAACTATTCGAATATAATTCGGTTGTACCAATAACTACGGATTATAATTTAATACTCGAATGGTTTTAAAAACGAATCCGATATTATATAATGATATTACATTGTTAAGACCGAGAGAGAGAGAGAGAGAGAGAGAGAGAGAGAGAGAGAGAAAAGGTTTCAAAACCACGGGGAGACAACCAACAATTTTGGAACCGTATATACGTATGTATAAGGTTTCGCGTATCGCGCAACTCGACGATATTACGGTCCTGCAGTGTATTAGGTACTGCGGGATGTGCACCGAATTTTATGGACTGGGTTAAACGAAAGTCGAATAACGATATTACATTTCGTGCGTATACGAAAGTTCGAAAACCCGAAATGCTCGTCGTTTAACGGCGGTAAAATCGTCGACAAAGCCGCCTTGCGAAAATTACACCGTATACAATTTATACGATATATTTCTGTTTATATAAGCGATTTTCAAACTGTGGTGGGTATGCGGTAGGCAACAGGCCGACCGATGGCAGTTCGTAAAATTGTCTAATTTTTCTACTTCGCCTTCGTCCCGACTATTCGATTATCACTCGTTCTAAACTTCCATTTGACCCAATCTCCCACATCGTTCTTGCATATACATCACTCGCCGTCCTCATATCCTCGTTCTCAATCTCATCGAACCACTTATTTTTCGATATTTCTTTACCCCTATTTTCTTCTACGTTTATTTCTATTACAATTCGTACTGTTTCGTCTCTACTTATACGACATGCCCAAACCATCTCTGTCTATTTGCTTTCATTTTGTCAACTATCGAAACCACGTCTAACCTACTCATTCCTTGTCCTATCTTCTCTCGTAACTCTATTCTCATCTCTGCTACACTCACTGTACGTTTTATTTTTCAAATGCTTTTAATCGACCGACTACGACATTATATTTTCTTAATTTGTATAATGTTAATTATACTGCAGTATTTTTTACTGCTAGATACCTAATAATTTTGAAATAAATGTATAGGCATTCTGAATAGTTCAATTTTTAGTCGTGAAGTACGTGACTGATCCATAATACATATAAGCGGTACGCGAAAAATAAATTAGAGAACTTGATTTACATAATATATATAGATATTATTATTATACACACGCGATGTACACAAAAGCGGCGTCCACACCCGATCACAAAACAAGCATTCGTTTATAGGTTTTTGACGATCATACACGAATGTACTTGAGAGTTAAAATATACAGTAGGTAGGCGCATGATCATTAGACTCGGTGCTTTCGTTTTGTTTTGTTTTGTTTTTTTTTTAAAAAACTTTGGGAATCGCCGCAACACATTGAACGCGGATTCCGCGGAGACCGATTGCGCCCGACGTACGGATTGCGATTGTTCGGTTTTCCGCGCACATTTTCTGCCGCTTCTGTACGCGCATATTCAACGTGCGGAGCGATCGTCAACCTCTCGGCTGCTCGGCCTCAATGTGCTCAGGTGCGGACGTGCCTTTACGTGTGCGTGTGTGTATACAGGTGCGACTCCAAATAGGCACCCGCCGAATAAACGGAGCTGCGCGACCGGACGGCCAATACCTGCGTATACGCTATGTACACGTCGGACGCGTTTTGGCGATACAGTTTTCGGTAAACAGTTTGCCGCGCTGTTCGCTGCTCGGCCGCCGAACGGATTTACAGTAAACCCGACCAACGGACACGGCCGAAGACGGCGAACGCGGCGTTCGACTGTTCGCCGATGATCCCGCGACAGCAACATACCGGTGGAAAAGTGACCGTACGGCCGTCAAACGATTATTATCGCGGTAAACGACATCGCCGAAACGGTTTGTTCGCCACAAACCGGGGCGGGTGACCGGCTTGCTGAAAGCTGCGACGCCAAAACGCGGCCGTTACGCGCCGCGTGTACGTACACGCGAACATATTATTACAATTGTACGCGGCGCGCGCACGCGCGTAGGTAACGCTCCTCCAATCGCGTCGTCCGTTTACGCGTTTCAAAACGGACGGCGCGGCGGCGGCGCGGTAAACACAAATTACCAGTTACACCGTTATCGCGACAACAGCAATAATTACGATTTTAACCCCGCTCGTGTTATCGGCGACGATAACGCGACGCGGCATTATACCTGCCTATTATCGTGTGCGCGCGCGCGCGGAGCTCGTCGTTACGAGGTCGCCAGCCAGCTCGCGGCTAACGTTCGGCGGCGGCGGCATATTGAAATACGGCCTAACCTACATAACGGACTGCGCGCGGGCACACGCCGGTAGGCCGGCGGGGGACGACCGGCGGCGGCACCGGCGTTCGCGCGTTCTAGAATAGAACCGTTCAGCCCTAACCAGGATGTTTGGCATCGTCATTATTCCTATTATAAAATGTACAATAATAATGACGCGTGTGCTCGAGTGCGCGTATTATTTAATGCTATCGAATAAAGTGTATACGGCCATTGTTCGTGCGTATCGTGACCGAAGGTTGAACGAATATTATATTTTTCATAGAATAAAATAATAATAAAAAAAACATATTTATATATAATAATAATATCTAACGACATAAATCGCAACAATCGTAATGACGATGATAATGATAAAATGGGCCGCGGAAGTTCGCGTGCATAGGTATTTGTATATCAGTTTTTCACCGATAACGAGTGTAACATTCGTCGGCGCCCGAACTAAACTTCGAGTGTAGCACGTTGCTACGCATCGTGTTTCGGCCGGGCGTTCCCCGTAGTCGGGCAGAATGGGTATAAACGTTCACGGCAGTACGTTGTATAGGGGTTGGAAAGTGCATATTTATGAGTGTAAAAGTTTTCGAGGTGGGTGGTGGTTTTCAATTTCAGATTCTGCTACACCATAAAAATACAGTTCGGGCGCCACTGAATTAACATTATAATCAGTGCCGGATCCTTTGGTTGGGGGACCGTTGGTGTAAGGGCGTGCTTAAATTTTTACGGGGGAAAATGTCAAAAATACAAACGCAAAATGTCCGATATAATACTATAATGAATTTCCGCAGAACTATTTCTACAGGAGGACCGCGGGGATCTTCAGAAAAATGTCGATATTGTTATTTTGCAAATAACGAAGAGAGAAAAATACGAGACTGCAGGTAAGGCAGCGATGAAACGCCAAGCAAATAGACCACTGGGAAGTACCGAGGAAAACTGTACTGACGCGATATGAATACGATAGCCAAAGCTACAAGACAGAGTCGTGTACTGCAATTACGCCAGCAACAAATAGTATTCGACTTTGCGCCTATAGTTCAACGCGAAATTCGCCGTAAATTGAACACACCGCGACAGATATTTTGTTGTTTAATGCGCTACAGAATCACATAAAAACCATGTAATATTGTTTAATAATATGAAAAACACCGACGAGGACTCGAGACGTTAAAACATTCCAAAGCTCAAATCGCGTATTCGACAAAAAACTATCGACGGGATTACGGAGTTACGTACCCGCTGTAAATGGCGAAAGGAAAACAAAACGAAATGGAAAATCCGGAAGTCGTCGCGTCATTCATTAGGTACCTACCTATATAATAATACTATAGACTATAGTCCCAATGCGCCCGCGAGAAAAAAAGAATTAACGAACGGCTCGGGGCGGATAAAAACCCGCACACAAACACATTATAAAAAATATAATTATAACATCGTGGCCGGGAAAAACAAAAAAAACAAAAAAAAACGTACCTAAGTATACTATAATGAGGAATATATTTTGTCTGCAAGTTCCCCCGAAGTCGACAAACACCATCACTAGACGAAAATTTCGTGTACAGTAATTTACCGGAGAGAACAAAACATAATAAAAAAAATATATATACCGCGAGTCGTCCGCTGCGACGGCAGCAGCATCCGAACTGAACTCAACTTAGCGGTAAAAATATTTGAAAAAAACAAAATTAAAATAATTAAAATATACCGCGGCGTGTGTACGTATATAATATCCACCACTGTGATTGGCAAATGTGCAGGCCGTCGTCGTATACGTTACTTAAAATTTAAATACTCATATATATATATTTTTTTTTTATACGTTATAATAATATTGATCTGTTGCCAATCGTCGCGGACTTTTTTTTTTTTTTCTTTTTAATGTTCTTAAAATAATATTTCACGACGTTTTTTGCAGCCTGCAAGGCCGGCGGCGGTGATGGGACAAACAAGACGCTAATTTGTCTCTCTCTTTCTTTTAATTTTTTCGCGGACCGTTTAGGCTCGCACGAGTAATGTGGTAAAAAAAAATAAATACTATTATTTAAACTCGCGCGCAACAATAAATACTTTGGCACTCTGCATCACTTTACGCGCTTTATTATAATAATATACATACGTATGTAAGATACAAGTATTATAATATTTAAACGCGTAATGTTATTATAATATAAATACGTCTATAAATAAACGAACGTCTTCGTACGTTTACATTCCTATATAATATAATATTAAAAATTTACCTTCTTGAAATTTTTTTAAAAAAAAAAAAAAAAACATCAAGTGTATACATTTTGTTCGTAATTTTATTTTGGTTGTATAATGATGTTTATTTTATTTTTTTCTACTAGAAATTTTGCTCCGATGTTCAAATGTAGTATATTTTCTAAAACGAAATCTGACTGGATAGGTACTTTAAAGAGGTAATTTTTTGATTTTCTCTGGAGTTTTCCTAATAAGTAGGAAAAAAAACCCGGGAAACTATTATTATTATATTATTTTCAAATCGTAAATATTACGGCCTTTTAAAACACGTATAATCGAACTCCGCTCAGAATCGTTTTTCGTTAGCAATGATTAATTTATGTGAACATTAAGTTCCCCTCTATATTTTACCTTCCCAACTTCTCATCTATAATAGTGGCTCATCCATCGTGCGAAGTATGTCCGTATTCTTTTTTTATTATTATTATTACAGTTTGCAGTATGCTGCAATAATATTATATTATTAAATAAAGTAAAAATTCGAAAATAAAATTTATATTTCGACGAAATTATTTTATATTCGGTTCCGGGCGGATGAACGTCGGCGTTCACACCGCTGCCGTCGTCGTCGTTTAGTTAAATGCACTAAAAAATGATAACGCGTCGTCGTAAACTCGTTTTAAAATACTATTTATTTCAATTTCAATATATTATAAAAATATTACGATGACGACGGTAATAACATAATAAGTACGAGCATATATAATAATATAATTGCCCGCACCGCATGCGTTTTAACATAACCGCTAAGTACGCGTGTAACGACGACGAGGACGGAATAAAAAACAAAAAACAAAATGGATACTTCAAAAAAATTAATATAATATACCTACCTACGCAATACGTCGCAGTGCAGAGGAGTAACGAATGTTTGTTTTATATTCGTTATAGTTGTGTACACGTCGAGTTATATTATAAGATTTGAATGCCTTTGAATGTACGCAACAAGTTTTAATTAAATTTTGTTTTAGCGTACACTAAAATTATTATTTTTTTAACTCTTTTTAAGGATTTGTATTTGAAGATTTTGAGAGCATAATTATTATTTATTTTTTTTAACGTATTTTTGATTTAGTGAGTAAATTTTAACGTTTTGAAATCCTTACTCTACTCTAATAATAATGTACGACGATCATATTTTCTATATTCGAAAGAAGACTATTTAAAAATATATTCGAATTGGTATAATAAACGAACAGTGATCGAAAGCAATAAGTAATAAGAGATAAGAGGGATGGGATTCTTATTACAGCGAAATTTTTGGTGATTATCCAAAAAAAAAAAACTATTTTAAAAAAAAATTCACGATTAAATACACCAAATTTTCCCTAAACTATTGGTCTTTCCCCAGTTACTCTTCCAATGAGAGTATTTTTCCTATGTAAAATAAAAAATTTTCTATACGATTTTCTATTTAATATATAGTATAGATATCACTGAACATTACGCATTAAGTAAAGTCTACAGCAGAGTGCCAATGGACTTTATACCGTGTGTTCATTTGAACATAGAAAACGTTTTTAAAAAATTCCCTACAGGGTCACGAGAATCTAGAATTGTCGCGTTCACGAGAAGATTTATAAAAATTAGAAGAGGTACATGTATAATATACACTATACACTTTTAAATATTTATCGAAAGAAAAACTCCCGCTTCTTATTCCCATCACCGCGATATTATTCAGGATAAATAAATAATATATTACACAAGCAGTACACCGGAGACAGTAACGAATACGAGTATATCGCGTAAACGGGGCATTTTGATTAATTTTTTTCCGGGTGCATAAAATTCATTGAAGGAATTGAAATGTTGATCGTTAAAAAACTCATCGCGAAGATTTTATCGAATGCCATTGAAAAATCATACGTATTTTTACGTATAACCGAACCGCGGGCTTATATATTAGGTGGAAATAGCCACGGCCGGGAGGTGATTTGGTGTGCGAGAAATATACGCGTTTACGGTTTTTTTTTTGTTTGTTTTTTTAACAGCGCCGAAACGAACGTATACAATTTCGTATATTCTTCTCTATTAAATATATATATATATATATTATAATATTTAATATTCGCACCTTGAAAAAATTGCCGACCGCAATTAGACGACGATTGTTTCGATAGACACGTGCCGCGAACGCCAGTGTCGTTTCCAGAATATTAGTAAGGTTATATAGGTACCTACCTAATAATATTATATCGCGTGTTATTGTCGAAACTCGTAAGTGAATAATATACGCCGAAGATAACTTTGCCCGCAGACGCTAAAAAATAATAATCTTTTTAAACTTTTCTGCACGAGCAAACACGCCAACGTTTTGAGTAACTCGACAATAATAATGTATTATTATTATTTTATGCAGGTATACCTCTCCTTAAAATATAATTTCTCTGTTGTAGGTAATTTCGACAAACATCTATAAAACAAACAAAAAACCGCATGCAACATATTTTTAGGTACGGTCGGGGTTTTGTATTTCTGCAGTACGGTAATCGAAACGTGCAGTTCTAAATAAATTGCACACTGCAGTTCTTTGTGAAATAAAAAAAATATATATATTACAAATGATTTTCTTTTGCGGTAATATGTCTACACGGAATAAGGCTAAAAATCGCCCATAAAGTTTAATATTGTAATGGCGCACATTTAGTGTTTCTCGCGAAGCTCCCAATAAAAACAACAGATTTGATAATGACGTAATAATATGTGTACAAAAAAAAAAACCGTTTTGATCTTTAGTCTATGAATCGAGTCCTAGCTCGCCAGAGCCGTTCGGGAGATCGATTAACCATTATACAAAAAAAAAAAAAAATCAATAAAATTTGCTTCGACCAGAATCTAAAAGACAGTTAAAATTATTAGGGAGGAGAGAATGAAATGTTTCAAACCTCATCGAAATTTTATTTTCGACCTGAAAACAAGACGTGCGATACTTTAAAATATATTATCTTTATTAGTATCGTATCGAAAAAACCGGAATATTGTATACGATAATAATTTTTTTTTCCTTGTCCATACAATCGATTGCAGTCTATCACATCGAGCTCGCTACACAAGTATTATACACGACAACTGTCTGTTTTTGACGAAACGCGAGCACTTATTAGGTCACTGACGGGCGTTTTATTTTTTTATAGACAGATCCGCTTACGTTAGGAGTTTTTTCATTACTATTATTATTATTATTATTATTCGAGTGGAAAAAAAACAATGATAGTCACTTTCGCGCGTAACAATCGTTCGAGAAATATGACGGGACTATGATCCGAAACATGTACGTTCAATATATAAGTAAGAGAATCTGTCTTGAGAAAAAAAAAATGAAAAGTTTTTGCGAAACTTTCGTAGTATCGCACACATACCCGAAATTAATTTCTCGGTAAAATTTTCCCACTAATTGTTTATTAGAGATATCAACTATATATTTTTCGATTTATTTGTTTTGCATAGAAAAATAGTATAGGTGTCATTACGGGATAGCGAAGGATAGCAAGTCATTTTTATCGGGGTTGCAAATCCCACTGCTACCCAATGAGTAATTTGTAAAAAAAATATAATTTTCTTGGTTTTTCGTAATTTGATTTCACCAATACAATTATACGCTATCGGCTATATGATATCGAATTTGAAAGTAAAAAATATTGCTCAAATGATTGCCTAATGTATTTCTATAATTATTATTAGATACATCTCTACCAAAATCTGATGGAAAATTGAGCCACTGACTGCTCCCTCACTTCATTAGACCACAATACTGAATTAAACATAATATTATTCAAGATAATGCTTGCTACCCTATGATTTTGTTCCAAATGACGTTTATGGAAGAACAATATAAGTTAGGTTAGGTTATATGTTATTTTACGATTTTGTGAATTATACATTTTTTAGATTTTGAGCGAAACGAAGCGTGTATTGGTTTTACTATGATCAAGTTTTTTTTTTGGTGTGTCTGTAAATCACTTTTCTACCACGTGAATCTTGCTCCAATCAGAAACTTTACAAGATCTTTGCTGCAGAATTTTTGATCAGGTTGGTGGAGGTGATTTGATGACTTTTCGTGTGTTAACAAATGAGAAAAACTCTGTCGATTAAACAATAAAATATCGAAAATCGCAACGTATACGACTGGTTTCAATGACAAAAACCGAGACTATACCGCGACGACGAGCAGGAGATATGCATTTTATCTGTGCGGCACATAATATTTATTATTGCGGCCGTTCAGAAACGGACGTTTATAATATTATTGTGTTATTATAATGGTGGGGGATTTTCGTATTATAATTATAATAAAATATGTGCTCTATAATATGACTTCTCGTAGACATAATTTACGAGATAAAGACGAGACGAGACGACATAATAATACATAATAATAATAATACCGGCTAATAAATACTACGTCATCCGACTAAATGCATATAATATAAAATAGCTGACAACGCCACGCCGCCAAAATAATATCCCTACACTCTCGGTCAAAGGTCCGACGGCGCGTTTTGGAAATATAATAATAATACGATGGCAATACACTATACTTAAAAAAAAAAAAACGTTATCGGAATAGTCGAGTCCTGCGATAGGACCAAATAAAAGACGAACATTATCACACATGCATACAGAGTGATTCATTCGCCGCCGTTAACCGTCACAACGATAGAAGCGATTATTCTTTCAAACGAAAGAAAGGTTTTACGTAAAAGAAACAGATTCTCGTTTTCGTTTGTGGTAATTGTAGATAATAATAATAATTGTCTACGTTTTTGGCACACATACACACAGTTTAGGATACAAATAAAATTCACTGCCACCGTCAAAATATCATACATAATATCTACTGCACTTCATTTTTATAATAATAGTTCTGTAGGTATGTCGTATTAATACTTTTTTTTTTCTATTACCCGTTAACAAATTTTTCACCAGAAATCTTGTTCCTATTTTTAAAGTGCAGCATCTTTTCTAAAAGCAAATTTCGTCTGATTGGTGCTTTACGGGAAGTAATCCTTTTAATTTTCCTTGTAGTTTTGCTAAAAATCGAAAAAAACTGTTGAAGAAACGGAATATTTACGATAATAACAGTTTCATTATTTTCGATTTTGTTTTTTCTTGTTTTAATTCGGTTAAAAATAATCGTACAGATTCGACACTTTCGTAGAGTACTTATATTATCTTATAACCATTGTCAAATTTTCAAAATATTCTGACGATGTTTGACCTATTTATAGGTATTTGACATTTTCTTCTTTTCAATTTCATTTCTTTTTTTTTTTTTTTACAATAATTACGATTAATGCATAATATTTTATAACCGTTTTATAGAAACTGTTGTTATTTTCTAGTGCGTGGTGATGGACAGGATGGTAGTCCATCGTTTTGTTATAATATTTGAATTAGTGTTTGAAGTTTTTGGATGCCGTGACGAGACGTGAACAGAAGGGTAGTCTAAAAATAGACGAGAAATGTAATACTACGGTGCGTGTATAATACCTCTTAGCCATTACGCCGGGACGCGAACAGCCAAACTCTAAAATATTATACCAAATTATATAAATAAATAGAATAATAAATAATAATCGATCAACTGTCGTCGGTCAAATATTTATAAAATGTTCGGAGCAATATACCTATTCTTATCGTCAAACCGTTTTTTCGGACTATTCAGTTGTCGATACTAAATATTATAACAAATATATATAATACATATTACATAGCTAAGAGTTAAATTATTTCTTTTGTTCTTGATCATTAGATTAGTTTTCGCAGGGCTTCTCTTCCAATGCGCACTTCAACATCACCTTCAATTATTGTCTCTAGTAAAATATCATATTTTAATATGTGTCCTATCATCTTCTGGATTGAATAATTTTCCATAACTGTCGGTCTTTTATTTTTTTAAACTGGATTAGTACTTCTTTATTTCTCATTTGTCACTGGTCCAGGGTATTACAAGCATTGTCCTTAAGCACCACATTTCAAAAGTTTCCAGCACCACACTTAATATATATATTTTAACATTTTAGTAACGTCTTCCTCATCACCAGGCTGACGCTATTAGTAGTCAGTATATGGTTTTTATCTTGGAAAGCTCTTTTCACCTGTGCTATCCTGCTGATTATATATTTTGTTTTGCTGCGGCCATTCTCTGTTATATTGCTTTCTAAGTATGCTATATTATATTGTTCGTATAATTGCTTGAAGCGAACAGCAGCCACTTAATTCGAGACCCATGGGCCTTATCGTACATTTTTTTATAGCGATGATATCCGCAGAGTCTGTCATTTTACCATTGTTTCCGCGGTATCTAAAACCGAGACTTTTTTACGATGTAACAGTTATCACAATATAAAAGTGGATGATGAGGCACGTGGGCCACGAATTAAATGGCGGATTGAATCTTACTTCTTATTACTATTTAGCAATCTATAGTACATTACGTATACATCTGAGGTTTTGCGTGTTAATGTTAGTGTTTTTTTTTAGGAGAAGAAGTCACCGAGTAAAATTTATTTGGGAAACACTGGCAAAACGTTCGTCTCGCATTTTTTTTTTAGTTGTGACGTCGTAATCGTACCTATATTTGGCTTTCTGCAAAAAAAAAAAAAAAAAATAATAAACGCACTCATTACGACCGCGGAGAACGAGTTCGCGGGCGATATCGACCACGTGTATCTCGCGGTCACGGCAAAATGAATATATACGGTTATAGCTTTGTATACGAAATGTTTAATTTTCCCTTCAGAATATCGTCCTTTATTTTATTCGTTTCACGTGTTTTTATATCTGAAATGAAAATCATCGGCGCGGCGGGACGAAAATGTTTTTTATTTGATTAGTAAAAATTCTCAGGTTTTTCATGTAACACTTTATAAAAAAATATTGATTTTTCGACGGCGGTACTTTATTAGAAACATCTTTTCTTATTCATCTTTTTAAGTTAGGCAAATGCTTCGAGCAAATTTGTCGAAGTGCCTCAAAAGTTGTGGAATTTCTGACTGGTAGTAGATAGTAGATACTTAAAATGCTTTATTCGATCGATTTATCGACATTTTCGTTAATTTTTATACAAATATACACGATTCTGGCGAAACAAATATTGTATATTTTTTAACTGTAGGAAGTAGCGATACAATCTGTATAAACCGGTAGCGCCGATCCTATAATAAGTAATAATAATAATATAGCGACGCTGGTGCAGAATACAAATTTTAAATTGGTTCGGGCGAGTCGAATTAAAATTTAAAACGTATAATATCATCGTCACGGTGGGTGTTACCCGACTTTTCGGGGCCGCCGAAAGGATGGCCGAACCCGATAATATAATAATATTGTATTGCGTATAATATACCGAATAAACGATTTTGACCGGACGAATATGGAAATGGTAAAGGCAGGTTTTGCACAGAGTCCATTCTTCAACATCCGGTCGATATTTGAACAATTTTATCAGTAAAATCCCCCTTTTGTAGAATCTTCGCGATTAAATATTAATTAATTAGTTAGTCAACAAGAGACGAATGAGAGGTTATAGACTGGAGATGGTTCGGAAATAATGCACATCCGATGCGAATAGAGACGATATAACCAAAGATTATAAATACAATAATGCCGAGTTTAAGATCTAAAGAATAACCTCCGAATAGTTGTGGGAAGAAGAATAGTCAACCATCGTCTATTATATAACATTGTGATTTATGTAATCACGAAGATTTCGACGAAAATTTTCCTGATGATTTATATATATAAATATATAAAAAAAAAAAAAAAAAAAAAAAAAATGGATTCATAATCAAAATTTACTCTGTTATATTGACCTAGAGCTGAGAAGCAATATCATGGTGTCGAAAGTCCCAAATATTTTCACACGTCTGTTCTACTAATTACGATTAATTGTATGTATCCATTGTCTTTTAATACACAATTTCACGTCGTGAAATTTTTCAATAAACTAACCGCACCCCTCCACGCGTCCTATAGGCTATATTTATTTTTTTTGAATGATAAATTTGTCTAGTTAATGCATTAAATGATTTCAGTTTTTGAGTTTCTTTGCGGTAGCGAAAATTACGTGAAAATGTACAGAAAACGGGTAAAAAGGGTTTCGTTATTTTTGATTTTGTTTTTTTGTTGCATTTACGGTAAAAATAATTTTAGAAACCCGAAATTTTTACAGAATACTTATACTAGTATTTTATAGACCTGATAAAATTTTCAAAACATTCCGATGATTTTTGATCTAAATACAGACATTTGATATTTTCGAGATTTTTCGTTTTTATTAGGTTTTATATGGTGATAAAATGTTTTGGCCAAGCAGACGTGCTTGAAATTGAAAACATGGTTCATTGTAAGTTATATTTGTCGGTCAAATTATTGTTTTAAGTTCAAATTTTAATGGAAATCGTAAAAATCATGGCATTTCGCGTATATTTATAATTATAGCACGTCGGCGTCATAATTGTCGATTATAATCAATTATTTATTTGAACACGTTTTCGTCATAATAGCCATCATTCCCGGAAAACGCTCCTTATTACATTGACAAATAAAATAAACTGATATTATTATTATTGCTTTTTAGGAGAGACAGTTAGAGAAAAAAGGACGTTTATCCATCATAGAGCACTCGATGAAAATCGATACAATTTAATAATTATTATGTTTGTATTGTACACTACAATCACAAAATATATTATCGTTATTATTGTTTTATAGAGTGATTTCGGTACGGCCATGGACTCTTAATACAATATAAAGAGTTGATAATAACCGCGAATAACCGCATGATAAACAACAAAACAAAACGAAAAACCGGAGCGGTTTATTTGTCCTGCGATAACGCGCTCTTTATTATATACGATAATCGCCGTTTCCATTACAAAATTAATTTTTAAATTGCGGGATTCATTGATAGGTTGTTTATTTGGTATTTTTTTTTTATTGTCGTGCGTATAAAAGAAGAATTTTATCACTTAAAACGTCCGACCACGTAATATATTATACATCGTTCTATTAAATCATAAAATATGTTTAATTCGACTCGTGAGTCGTGATGAGTGTTAAAACTCAACGTTGAATCGAATGGTAGGTATTATATAGGTACACTTTTGGTTTTGGCGTCACATAAAACCGTCGTCGCAATCGCATAAAAACGTCGTGTCGGCGGAACAAAAACGAAAACCAACCTACATAATAATGAGCATCACTAAAAATATGCATGCACTGGGACGTTGCCATCGTACCAGGTTTTCGATCTTTCGAAATTTCATAATTTTAAACAATCTCCAATTGTTATTATAATTTCTATGCACCTGGTGAGGAAATTGGCCGTCGTCATCATTTGGACAGAAAATTGGTATATACTATACATATGCATATTATATATCATTTTGCAAATGTGCTTTGCAGACGAGACAACAGTAATGCCAAATCGAAAAACATGTTCCACCGTTTTCTTTTTATTAAATCAAAATAATTTTCGAAAAGATTTTACATAGGTCCATTAATCATTAAGTATTAAAAAAAAAAAAAAAATAAATAAATAACATTTCGCATAATTAAATTGAAGACTGTAAATATAACCAGAGCCCAAACGTGCCATGGTTTTTATAACTTTTGGTGCCCAAGCATTATTTTATTATCATCGCGAAATGACCGTTATCACGTATTTTATTGGGTCTGGGATGGAGTGGCCTGTCGAGAAACGATAATTTTCTAGACGGCTTATTTTACGGTCTGATTAAAAGTTTTCAAACACTTGAACACATTGTTTCAATTTCAATATCATTTAAAAGTTGACAATCAACTAAAAATATATTTTTATAATATTGTAGGCTTTCTATACGAATAATATAAGCATTGGGATCTAGAACAATTTTGTTTCGGTATTTTATTGTGGGGTAGGGATGTCGCGTGGCCTGGATAAATTCCCATCTCATGGCCCGAACTCTGCTTACACCCCGCCCCTGGACTGGGGTCACTATATAATAATGTATAGTAGTGCCAAAAATGTTCCTACGCCCGTATATAGTCGGCGATTATAATACTGCGGGTATGATTTTTTTTAGTATGAAATTTGTATCTATTTTTCTTTTTTGCGAATTCGTCAATCGAACAAAATAAAACCGCGAACGTGGGTGCGTATATAAGTACGTATAATATATTATTATATACAATGCCGCATAACGAGTGTCCTCTAATATATAAACGTATATATGATATTTTTTTTACGCGAAGGTTTCCGCCGCTGCGATTATATAGACTGTTCTATTATCATTATTAATATTTTTGAATATTTTTACGGTTTTCGCGAACACGACGACAGAGCAAAAAAAAATCCCGGAAACAATATAATATTAAAAAATAAATAATAAAAATTGTCTGAGAACAAATGGTATTTTTTTTTTTTTTTACGGGATAAAATATACATATACACGTAGTACTCTTGCACATGATGTACCGCACTGGCGGCTGTACAACTGTTGTAATTATACCATTGTGCTATATACGCGTTTTACGCCGTGTGGAAATTCGTATTATAAAGCTAACCTTACGCAAGGTCGAATTCATTAAAGCACACATTGTATATACAATATAACATATAGTACATATTATATAAACACAAGCGCCACGCGAAATATTGTGGTATATACCATAAGCATACCGCGCTGGTATATACCTAATATATTATATTAAAGGTTGGCTACAATACAATATATTGTTATCGCCAACCCTGTCCCGACTGCAACTGTTCCGCGCACTCTCCCCTTCACCTCCCTTTCCCCCTTCTAATAGCAAAATAAACGTCCGAACGAAAGTCAAGGTCAAAAAGTTCACCCTCTCGCGTGCGCATATACCCTCCCCGTGTACCTATACCTATACATAATTTATGCAAATCCATTTCGTGCGGATGCGCAGTGTTACCGCCGATACTCGACAATATTATTATTATTATTATTACAATCGAGACCAGGGTTTTCCAAGCCACTGGGTCGAGGAAAGGAGGGAGAATAGGTAAATCTAACCCATAAACCTATTATTAAGGGGAAACGGTATTACTACTAGAAAATATTATTGTATGCATACATTTGTAAAATTGTATGCTAATAGACACCATATAAAAAACGTTCAAAGAGACTACGCGATGAGGTTTTTACAAAAATCAGAAACGTGTATAATAAAATAATTAGGTTTAGAAATCGTTTTACTTTAAAACAGTGCAGCAGAGGCGGTTAACAAGAGCAATACAACTGCGTGGTGTATTCTAGAGGTAGATCACTAGTGCATACCTAACGACGTTACTACAAGAAATTTTAAAACGGTTTAAAAAGAATGCTAGTGGGTGTGCTCTCAAAGATCGTTATATTATACCTTTGGTCCCGGGAAAAAATAATTTAAGTAAATTTTCGGCATTTTTAAAATAATTTTCTACCCTTTTTTTTTTATCTAAATGGCATAAAGTTTATGTATAATGCATATATATTCTAAAATTTAACACGAAATGTTATCCTCAAAATTAAAATATCTTAAATCACTATATTGTACTTTTTATTTAGAAAAAAAAGGTATAAGGCATATTTATTATACATACCTAGTAAAAGCCGTTTAGCAATTCTTAAAATTTAGTTTCTTTGTATTGAAGACTATACGAAGTTGGCCGAAACCCTTTTTACCTGGGACCAAAGATATATTTAGCATAGGCGTATGCAGGGTACGCCACTGCATAGTCTGCGGCTTTGTATGCAGGGGCACAAAAATGTACAGTATAAATATAAATACTTAAACTTGAGTCATTTTTACATTTGCTATAATTAATCTAATTCAAACTATAGCACGTTGTAATAAGATCTACGTGATTTGACGTTGTGTGATTATTTAATTATATTTTTGTTTAGCCGGGCCCGACAATTAAATTTGATTACAATACTTCGGGGTTCTATTTTTCTATAATATTGCATAATCTGTAGATGAAGTCTGTGCACGCCCAATGTTAAATTTAGCGTATCTACTCCACGTTAATAATTATAATAATTGCCCGGTCCGAAATATTTTTACGAAACATCGAAACGTAGTCGAATAAAATAATAAATAACTTATTATTACACGAATATTAGTATTAATCGTAATATTATTACGCGCATAACGTTTTGTCGTGGTGTTCACGACCACATAATACACCGCAGAAGACGATCGGGTTTGAATGAATAATTAATCACGACTATACGCTATACTTGCATAATTATATATTTATACGTATATACTGTAATATGTATGTGTGTATGTGTGTGTGTGTGTGTGTGTGTGTGTGTGTTAACGCCACCGTCCATAGTATATTTGAATAAAAAAATTATACGCCTCGCTCTCGGACGCATTTAAAAGCAATAATATACGAAATCGATTTACCGCGCAGCGCAGTGGGTATCAGAAACAAAAAATGTAAAAAACAATATAAATAGCTTGCTAACAGTAAGTTCTGTAATCGAATACCCTACAGAACATTTTTTAAAAGGGGTTTTCTACGTCAAAATGTGGACCCACACATCGTAACTCTACAGTAGGTTAAGATTTTTCTTATACTACTGTGGTACGCTGTGGAAAATGAATGGTAAACGATTAAATTATAGTTTGTATAGTTAGATTTTGTAACAAAATAATATTTTTTTACAGATAAAATACAGTTACTGCGGTGACGGAGGCAGAACTGGGGAAACTCTGATAATTAATAAGGGGAAGGTTCGGTATATCTGATCGTGGTGTTTTTTATTAAGAAAGAGGGGAGTGGACATTCACTAAAAATGACCAAGTGGGTGCCGATGGATAATATTTTGTACAAATTGTATACTACAATAATTATACGTATAATTATGAATGTAATAGACGATACAGTGACGTAGTACGACAGTACGTATTTAGCACTGTGGGGGAGAGGGAGTTCAAATTTTGCTTGCAAACTTTTTTGTTTGAATCATGTATGATGTTTGAACATTCCTTCCTTAACACAAATATTGATAAAAAACACTTTAATAATTAAAGAAGAATATATAATACACCTTGGCAGACTATTTCTGACATACGTGTTCCTCCTTAAATACGTTTGCATACGGTGCAGTGTAGAAAACAAAATGTAGTTATAGTCTCCCCTAGGGTTGGTTATCACCTTTAAAAGTAAAAAATACGAGACGATTTATTTTACAAAATGGAATTTAATTTACCAGTACTTAGATTATGATCACTGATAAACAAAAAATGTCAACATGAGTTAGGCTAGTTATCTTCAATAGATACATGTACAATTAAAAAAAAAAAAAGTGCCGCGTAAATCAATGATTCCAATTGAGTTTGGCAAAAATCGATGGTCGTAACTTGTATACTTTCTGGAGATAACTGTACAAATCATAGACCTGATGATATTCAAACATTTCGAAACTTATTATTTTAAGAAATATGGGACATATTGCTTACCGATACTCATTAAAACGGGGCGCGTAACAAATCGATTAAAAACGGCAACCGTCTTTTGAAATACAGAACGGATGGCAACCCCGCTCCCCTGATAACGCCTCTCAGAGGGGCACATTCACCGACACTGTAATAATAATATTATTATTGTAGACATTGTATTCGAATAAACAAACAGCGAGTACCTGAAGTCTGTATACGTAGGTACCTATAAATAATAATATCGGACGTCGATATAATAACATTATTTCATTTTATCGTTTAATCATCGAGACGGCAGTACGACACACTACGACATGAAAACCGCAAACAACTTTTCGCACAAAATAACAACGACAGCAGCAACAACAATAATAATAATTATATTACAATAATAGACCGGAAAATGCGATGTGTTTTTTTTTTTTTTTCATATACTGCGGTCGGACGTATTATATAGGACGCGTTATTTTATGGACTATTGTTTAGGCGTCCCCTGTACTCATAAACACGACAACACGACTTTTTCTGTTGTTTTTTTTCGTCGCTACACGTACCTATATGTATACATAAATTATAATATTATATAATATATGCCCAGTGCCGGTTTGACCTGCAGTGATTTTTGCTCTTTTCTGGTTTCGGTAAACAATACAATGCTACGTTAACAGTATAATCGTTGGATAGACGATATTTTGTCTGAATTAATGTAATCTATATTCGAATTTCCGGTACCTTTTACCGGAGGCGAAAACAAAGGTGGTTTCCCGTATATTTTTCCTTATTTACTCAGTGGCTATTACAAGGGCGTCCGGTGGCAAGGGTCTAAGAAAGAGGGGAGGTTGTAAAATTATTGTGCGTCGACAGTGTCTACCAGATGCTGAAAGTGACCGCGTACAAATAGTGACGAAAGCGAAAAACACGCGCGCGTAAATGCCTTATTTCGTTTCTATTTACATCTGTAGTAGTTTAGGAACCACTTAACACATAGTTTTCGATTGAAATCAATTTCATCATATCGAAAAATAAAAAAAAAAATTCACGTTCGATAACTTTTGGCGTGGCGGCGACGATGTGTCCGCCGCCGCCTTTGAATCGCGTCCGGTTTACCCTTTCGCGGGGTTTCGCGCCCTCTCGAGTTGTTATTCTCGAAAATACCGCCGCGAACGTTGACAACAATAACCGTGACAAAAACAGTAATAATATTAAAATAATACGATTGTTATTAATATTATATTATTTATATATCCGTTCGGCGAACGTCGTTCGTTCAAGGTCGGCAGTCGACGAGGTATACGCGTATAGTTACGTTTATTCGTCGCGTTTTTTTTTACCGTCAAGTTTCGAACACACGCGATATAATGTCATACACATTATGTATACGTACGTACGCACGCGTGATGTTTTGTACAAACGCGAGTTTTAGAGTAAAAAAAAAAAAAAAACCACGCGTATGACACAGGCATTGGGGAGAGAGGAAAAAAACCGCTGTTTACTATCGGGCCCGCGATGAGTTTGCACTATTTGCACAGTTGACGCCCGCGTATATCGCACGGTGTTTCAATACACGCGTTTCATCATCGCGGGCGGACGCGTACGCGTACGCACAAACGAACCGCCGCGTACGCACGAGTACCGGACGCACAGACGCACATACGCACGAGCACACGTAGCCGTCGTCGGATCGCCCGCGTGATACCAGTAGTAATTGTTGCGGTACATATTATTATTATTATTATTATTATTACACGGGCCTTATACTATGTGGTACGCGGTACATACGCCGTCGCGTCACCGCGTTATCCTCAATGAAGAGAACCGCGCGCGAGTATAGACCGCGGCGGCGATACACCCGGGGGCGGCGGCGCGGAGGAGTCGCGTACCCGGTGACGGCCGTGGCGTAGCAGACGATCTGCGCGACCGGCGGTGAGGCGTGAGGGGGGCAGGAGGAGGAGGAGGAGGGGGAATGGACGGGCGAACCCCGCGATCGTCTCGCGCGGGGGTGTTTCGGCGCATCGCCTGGCCAGACGACGAGCCCCGCGTAACCGTTGGCAACCGTCGTCGGTGGCGGTGGCGGCCGCGGTGTGACGTCACTAGCGGTCCGCGTCGTTACTACGTCACGCGCGCGACCGCCGCCGCGGCGGCGGTGGCAACGGCGAGTAACGGCCCAATGTGGAGTAGGGCAAGAGAGTGTAAGTATACAAGCGGCGTGCAGGGGCCGCTCTATCGACTGTTCGGCGGGGTCCCCCCCCCGCAGCAGTTTATGTGCTTTTGCGCAGGACGGGTGCCGAGCTGGGTCGAGCCGATCGCGCGCACGCATAATAGGTACCGTCTCGCAGCCCACGCGTACGCCGCGGTATTGTATTCTATATACGTATAATACGAGCGCGAGAATTGCCCAACTATAAAATCGGTGAACCATCACCTGTACAACAGGCGTGTCGAAAATCCGTCGTAAAAAATGCGAACGCGGACGATTTGAAAGACGGTTTTTTTTTTTCCCGTTATAAAACCGTGAGCGCAGGGGGGGGCGGGTAACCGCCGCCCCTCTACGGGATTCGCGGAGGCCAATCTGCGAGGTGAATCGCGTGGTCCCTTAACTCGGCCGATTTTCCGGTGGCTATGGAAAATTCTCCTCCGAACGATGCGCCTGACGATATTGCCTATGAAAATATAATGTGTATACTCGGGAGTCGAAATTTCGTTTTCGAGACGCCCACGCCATATGTTTTGTTCGCAAAAGCGCATCTCGCCATCATATAGACGTGATATTTATACATATAGGCACCATTCGTCAACGGTCGCGATGCGACGTGATCCGCATAAGAAGCGACCACGGTGCATTATTCGAACGTAAATAAAACAAACAGATCGGTGTGCCGCGGCCCACGTGAACCGTCTAGTTTTAGAACAGCTTATTATATTTTATTCCCGACGCGGTGACCTTCCGGAAGAGATTGACGTACACCGGGTTTTAGGATTTTTGTACTGGTGCAGTGCCGGTGATTATTGACCCCTTGATATTTTACCGAGGGGTGGCAACTTATTACTCTGGTAATCATTACCGGTGGAGGGGGGAAGGGTTAATTTCGCGGTTACACACCGATTCGAGAAAAAATCTAAACGGCATTTTTTCATCGGCTCCAATACGGAACACGTGTGGTTATGTTTATAGAACTGAAAGTGGAAGTGAACCCATTTTTCTCTGTCTATCATTTGATATTAAATATTTCTATTATACAAAAAACATTTTGATATTTATTTCTTCCATATATTATATTATTATACGAGTTCATAATCGAAGCGAATAGGGGCCCCTAGTGAATGCATATTCTAAATTACAATAAATTCCATATGTTTTAATATTTGTTCAGCAGAGAAATAATGACAATTTTACATTATATGTATAATAATTAAAGATTATAGGATTTGATATATGCAAGCTGAACACACCGGGGTGTAATACAAAAAAAAAAAAAAAAAGAGATACCGAATATATTCGTAGTCGAAAAGAAAAAGGAGGAGAGGAAGCACGAAAAAAAGACGATTGGATATGAATGAGAATTATATGAGTATGGCCGGTGTATGTGAGGACGACATAGGGGTCGGGTCATGTGGAAGTTTAGGATCTCAAATTGTTGGGACGAAGGCGAAGGACATTTAAACGGGCTACTATTCTAGCTCCACCCAAAATGGTATTAAATTTTAAATGTACACGTGTCGTGAAATACATAAAATGTGAGTGGGAACCGGGAGTAATTTAGAACGCTCGCCTCTTAGCTTTTTCTAATTTGCGGAGGTTGAATTTTTTAATTTACACCGGTAAAATATAACTACAAAAGTCGTCGGTAGTTTTTTTATTTTTTTGTCAAGTGTGTTTTCTCATCGCGTCAACGCCGTGATATTATTGCGTCACGAGTTTTTAGTAAATGTTGACAAAATGTTTCGTTCAGTTCACTAAACGATATAAATCGAATTCGCATACACATAATACAGTATTCATTATTGTATTATTATACAAATAGTATATGTATTCGTATTTATTAAATATTTAAATTGTAAATTTGTACAGGTATATTACGTCGTCACTATTTTTAATTTTCAACTCAACAATAAATTATTTGTACGATAAATTGCAGAACTGGATTACGAATTATCGATTAACCCGTTTGAAACTTTTGTAGACTAAATTCAAAACTTGCATGTTCCGAAAAAATGAGAAAATGAGTTAGCAACACTGTTTTATACGATTAAGAATCGTATTCTGCAATCAGTTTGGTTTAAAGAGCACAAGATCGGTTCTACATTTAACCGGAATGTTGCGGTTTGTGTCAAAACCAAAAAGTTCCGTTGAACCGTGCGACTTCTAATACATAATCACTATTTAAGCAGTGTCAAAAATCACATGGTCCATAGAACAAAAACTCACATATTCCATTACAACAATTTTCAAAACTTATACTTTTCTAACTTTAATCTCGAAAGAAAATGTAGATAACGACTAAAATCTTAACTAATGATAATTGTGTTAGTCTGAATTAAATTTAAAAAAAATGCGTTTTGGATTTCGTCATAGTAAATAGGAAACCCCATTACCAATTTTTTCTTTTTCTGAAAAATGAAATTTTCGGAACATGTGAGTTTTGATTCTGGCTTACTCGAGTATTAGATACCGCGAAACAAATACCAAATTGACGAATACCGTGCGAATTATTCTTCCGTAAAATATGTGACGTCACGCGGAATAGGTTTAAAATCCGTTCGCTATACCGTGTAAAAATATAATAAATTACACGCGTAATCGGCGACGGATACCGGGCTGCAAACGTCGCAACACTGGATTTGCAGGATATTATACTATTCGACGCGATATTTTAACAACCGCAATAGTAAAATAGTAAAAAAAAAAAAAACAATAATATTATTAGTATTATGTTGAAATATTAACGATTTTCCGTTTCCCGTTTACGTGCACACGCGAAATTAAAATAATAATTAAACGTCGTCGTCGTCGTGCGTAATACACAAATGTATTATTATCGTGTGAAAAAAAAAAAAAAAAAACTACTGCGAAAACAAAATACCTAGTCATAAATAGGTTGTAAATAAATAAATAAACGAATCGCGACTTTACCTACTATATTGCTTGTTTTTTATACGCAATCGAAACTGCATATTATACATCGGCGATTATAACTTTTCCCGTGAGCAAGTCGATAATGTTAAAGTCACTTGCACATTGATTCGTTTTAAACATGTCAAAATACAGTATTATTATTTCCGAAAAAGCGAGTACGTAGCTCGTGGATTAAATTAAATACGAAACATAAAAACGTCTTGATAACATTTCAAAAGAGAGTATTATTAAGGAGAATATTCGGCTTGAGAAGGAACACTGAAAATAATGCACACAAACGTAGGACTTACGCAGAGCCAAGGGAAATGTTCGATATACTTGATATAGTGTATGTGTTCTAAACAGCCGAATTATAAGCTGGAAAGGACACGTGTGGAGGGCGGCGGGTAAATTAGTTAATAAAGTTACCAAATGGAAGCCGATTGGCCCTAGCCCGAGGCCTCTTGGTCTTGGACAGCGGTGGAGCGATCGATTCATCTCAAGCTCCTACAGGAATCTTAGGATGGAGAAAAGTCAGTATTGGATCTCTATCCGATAGAGCTGTGTGGAGGGGCATAATGGGAGCGGCGATAGGTCTCAATGGCCTCGAATAAGCCAGAAAATAATAAAATAAATACGTCTTGTAAATAATAGCTCGTATCAGCAGATCTGGGAAGGGGGAGGGGGGGAGGGTAGCGCACGCCACTGATAATATTATCGACTAAAGGTGCGATTTAAGGACGATTTAAAAGGACACGGTCCGATTAGGATTGAACTCAACTAACCGGTATAAGCGGTATAGGGAAGATATTAAAATTAAAAACGACGATTGACCGCCGGTCAACCACTACATAATAACCACACGGCTCAACCAAGATCCTAGAATATTTCACGTTTCGCGGTAAGCTGCGAAGGCACCTCAATTATCGACGTATTTACGGACGGAAAGAGAAAAATTACCGCGGCCGCGACAAAATGTTGTCGCGCGCGCAGCACACCTTTACCGTTCGCCAATTATGTCGTTGTTTTTCGGCGTTTATTATTATTATTATTATTATTTTTTTTTTTTGGCAAACCTTTACGGTGTTTTTCCTCCGTTGTTGTTGCAAAAACGAACGCGTATTATTATCGTCAAATTATTATTATCTCCACGCCGTTATAAATATAACACGCGCGCTCGTTGCGAACGCCAAAATCGCGCTGCACACCTCTCGGCCGCGGGCGGCGCGCACACCTAGGCGGCCGTTATAATATCCATCACAGGCGCGCAATGCACGTCGCGCATACAGGGCGATTCAATTACCGCGGCCCGGCAACAATTATTATCTATTATTGTTATTGTAAAACTGACCGAAACAAACTGATTTTGGTTTGGGTTTGGGTTTTTTTTTGTTTACAGTCCGTTCGCGATGTAAGAACTCGTTCTGTTTTTACTAATTTACACACGTATTGGAGAATACGAGAACATGTTCCACCGGGGTCGTTGTAAGGGAAGTAAGGCGCAGCGATCGTCGTCCACGAGCGTCATAGCTGGGCGTACGAACACTAATGTACATTATAGGTTCGTGATAATCGCTCTGTAAGATATTTTGTACATCGCGCGGCGGCCACGACGACGACGACGACGACGACGACGACGACGTCGGAGTTGGACACCCGCGGTTCGTATAAATAAACCGACCTCTCCGTGGCGGCGGAGAGACGAAAAATAGACGCGCGCTCGGATAGAAACCTTACCCACTCGCGGTGGCCCGCGGCCGCAGTGTGCGTTACGCGCGCGACGACGCATCGATCTCAACAAAAATAGACCGGACTATTTGCGGCGCGTATATGTCTTCTCCAGCGCGGTCGCGGGACGAGATCGATGACTCCTACGCATTGAAATGAATGTGATCCGTCCCGACAAAATCGCAGTTGTTTAACCGAATTTCCGGACCGTCTGATGCAGCGGTTTCGTCTTTTTCGCGTAATGGGCGTTTTCGCGGATTTCTATGGAAAATAGACAATTTTTATTTTTCGAGCTCGTGAAATTCGGCGGTACTACACGGGAGACGATGTGCAGCCGATCGCATCCCCCGCGGCTCCCCTATGTAAACATATACGTATTTTTATAAATCACATAGCTACGGCCAGAGAACAAGCGTGTGCATATGAATTAAAAATGTCGAAAATCCAGTAGTGATTTTTTTTTCATACGGAGTTCAGTTTTGAACGATAACCGTAAACAAAAAAAACTTGCTTCCCATATCACAATTACTTTATTGATTTTCCAGTTCCATAATAACGCAAGGAAATTGTATGAAGAGAGTCCGTTACATTATGAATAATTTAACACAATGTCAAACATATTTTCACTGAATACTATCTAATACTATCTTACCTCGAGTATAATATATTTGGTCGACTTTCAAATCAAAGGGAATATAAAATGCGAAACATCGAGACTACCTACGCATAAATACAAAATGTTGTCAATGTTGTTCGCCCCGTGTTTTTAAACCTCACCCCCAATGACGCATCTTTTCGGTGTCGTTGTGTAACACGAACACGAAACTAAAATCTGCGACTTAACATTTACCGCGGATAGTACTATATACAGAGTATACAGATATTCGTTCCCGACGGGGTTTATTTTTTTTATTGATTTTCAATGTTATACAAGGCGCAAACAATAAATCGGTAAAAAAAATATGCGTAATTTTTTTTTTTTTTTTTTTTTGTACAATCGTCCGTAAAAACGATAATACTATCGCGTTATTTATTTTCAATTTAAATTGCACGCGTGCTAATTATTATTATTATTCGATAGTGTAAAAATGCGTTTTTTCGCAGCCGAAGGACGTCGCCGGCGCGCAACAACTGCACGGCCCTACCGTACGGGTTTAAGGATTTTACCATAATTAACGTGGTCGGCGCAGCGTAAATAATAACAGTGGTATGTGTACGAAAACAGCGAGGCGGGTACAAAAGACGAACCGAACGCAAAACGGAAAACAACGGAAACGCCTGCTGTAAAATATGGAAACAAAACGCGGTGTATTTATTCGGGCAGTGCTGCCCCGGGGTTTTGTTATCGCCGCGGTCCGTCTCCGTCGCCGCCGTCGGTTTCTAATATTTTAGTTTTCGAATACGCGGGCATTTATCGTTGCGCAAATCGATTTCTAATCCGTACGGGATCGTACCCATAACGCGCTGCTGGCGGACAGGCTGCGGGCCGCAGGTTGTAAACGCAGGCATGTCGTGGAAGCGCCGAGGCGAAAACGAAATACACGCATGTAGCGCGTAGTAATATTGTCGTCGTAAAGAGAGAGAGAGAAAAAAAATAATAATAATTAATTTCGAAACAATATAATTATATTCGTTGCGTACCGTTGAAATTGTTATCTCGCGGACACTGGCTGCGCCGGTCGAATCGCGGTATACAATATACTGTATATCTCGCGTGGATGTATACGAGCGTGTACCGGCGGCACTACAACGTAACGTTACCGACTGACACGGTTCCATCCAAGTACGAATATGTATTATTATTAAATTTTTTTTTAATATTATTATGTACGAGTGCCGTATATTATATTATAATATGTAGGTCATGGGGGCTGTGCCGATGAATCGATACACGACCGACCGGATTAAGCCTTGGACGAGTTCCAACCGGCGACAACGACGACGGACGCGCGTATATTATACGCACGCACACGCGCGGATTTACATACACGCCCGTATGATACACTGCACCGGCGGTGCACTCGCCGCCGCGGCGGGGCGGTATGCCGATTAATAATATCGCAGAGCGGACGGAATACCGATTGAAAAAAACGGCAGTCCGGTTAGGTTCATTTGTTTAGTTTTTGTTTTTGTTTTTTTTTTTCTGCTGTTTTCTGTCCGCCGAGTGCGTTGATGGGTAACGCATTTTTTGAACAATATCGTTTCGATAAGATAACGACATTTCTCATGTATACGGCGCAGCCCGACGCGTAATAATTTATATTGTTTGTTTAATGCGTGCCGAGCGAATAACGAATTTACCTAATTTGTTTACGCGTTTCCAAACGAGGAATTTAATATGATTTCGCGAAAAAAAAATCCTAGATGTGTAGACCTGTAGAAAAAAAAAATGTTCATTTTCATAAAGAGTATACAATGTACGGTTGCCCGTAGTTTCGGACCGTTTTTATATAGAAGTTTTAAATAATATAGACGTAGCGTTTTTAAAGCGTTTTATGCCACCGTTGACCGGGGAAATCGATATAAACACTCGCGGAATTATTGTTCTGGAACGGCGAAGAAAAAAAAAAAAAAAATTGTATTTTAGTGTATTTAAATATTTCGATTTAAAAAAACTCGCGTCATCTTAGTAATTGTCGCGTACAACGTCTAGAAGTCCAATTATTACGATTTTTTTCCCGTTTGAATATTATTAATTTTTTTTTTTTTTTCATAAAGCTAAAATCCTAAAAGCTCTATGCACACATACAACGAGAATTCGGTTTTTATTTCTTCGTAGATATTATGCGTAGTCGGGTAATTTTTTCCGCGACGACGGTCGTCGCACGCTACAGCGCGCTCCCGGTGGTCAACAATAACAACAGCAAATAGGTAGCGTATAATACGATGGGAAAAAAAACCCGCTTACGTATATGATAAAAATAATATTGTAACATAGTGTTTCGCTTTTATCGCTCACGTATAAAGGTACCTGATGTGTAATAATAATAGGTATGTTCGTTCGATTTCGTTTTTTCACTTTTTTTCTGCGAGCGCACACGATAACGCGTACACTGTATTACGGATACGACGACGATGCGTACGAGCCAGCTGTCTATCATGGTAACAGTAAAGCCATACGCCGGCGAACCCGACGGGAAATTATAAAAATTTTTATTCCAAACGGTTCGCGATCATTTCAATTTATAATACGCTCGACGGCGGCGGCACGCGGAATCCGTTAAGTTAGCTATTTCTGAACCATTGATTTTATACGCGAAACGACAATGCGATAACACGTGATAACAACAACAACAACAACAATAACAATATCAATAATAATACGAATAATATAATATTGATACGCGGTGCCGAATAACGGCGGCATGTGCACAACGTACGGAAATAGACTATACAACACAGCTTTACAATAATATTATAAATTATCACGAAACCGCAATGTCTCCCACGCGATTTTTAAATTATTTATAAAATATTGTACACGGGCATATTTTATCGTACGATAAACGAAAAATGTACAACGGCGCTGCGGCACCGTATTCGCGACGACGACGACGGCAAAACGCGCATTCCAATATTATCGTACCCTTTACGAGAACGGCTCATCTCTGGAAAGTAGAATTTCTTCCGGTACGTATGTTGCCACGACTTCCGGTACATCAACGCGAGTCCTTTTAACGAAATTTAACTAGGGATTTCGATTGTGTTTCTCGTCACTATTGATACCGGGTATGGAGGACGGGTACTTGCCCATCGTTTCTACTGGTGCGAATGGCGGAAAAGCCGATTTTGAAAAAATCTCGACACGGGCCCTTATCGAAATTGAAAATTAATTTAGAACCGCGTACGTATTATGCAGTTATAACAATAGATTGCCATTTTTCATTTTGGACATTCTTTCCTTACAAAAATTACCGCTATACTACAATAAAATACATTTTACTAAAGTTCCTCAAAACTATTTTTCTACCTGAATTTTCCCTCTCTCATTTTATATCGTTATAAAAAATAGGTATACCCAGGTACAAATCGTTTTAAAGCACGGGTATGCGTATAATATATAGCGCACGCACGTAGGTTGAAAAAAATGTATGTATACACCTATACTATTATAGTATAGCTGTTGTTATACTTGTACAACCTATTAAAAAATATAACATTATTGCATTATTTACTCACGTGTTGATTGTGTTAAAAAAAAAAAAAAAAATACACAGCAGATGTCTCAACTCTTTTTTATTGAAACGTTGTGTATATATAGTTAATATAGTAGAGTATAGGTATATCTATATCAATTTAAACGAGTATATTTTTACAATACAGTATTGTTGTAATTCGTTTTTGACTTGGCTCGATTTTGAATTATTATTGTATATTAGTTGGTGGACATCGCGCGAGAAGAATATTTTATTAATGCATTATCATAGAAATCGAAATCTATACGCAAAAAGTTTCACTTTAAACCTATAATAAATATTAAATATTTTGCGTGTCCGGGAAAAAAGTATTTAGAGCTTATACATTTAAATAGCGACTTTAATGTTAAATTAATTCGAAGTTGGGCAAATTAAGCGGTTTTTTAAAACTATTTTAAATTGTCGCCAAAAAAATTATAATAACTAAGATGAATTTGAAAATTACTTATTTTTAAAATTACTCTTAACTACGCTCAGAAATTTATTGTGAACACATCGAATGGAAAATCGCTTGTTTTCATGTTTGCATTGTATTGTATAATACATTAATAGCGAACATACCAGATTTTATATTATATACTAGAAAAAGCGTAATTTTCATGTGAAAAATAAACGCAAAAAACATAAAAGTACAAAGATTTATACAAAAAGTCCGTTAATATCCTATTAAAAATAACCAAACCTAACCTAACTTATAAATATTAACTTTTAACTTCTTCACCAGTTACACGTAAAGCTTTAATGTGTGAATATTACTTCATTGATTTTTGTATAATTATTATTATTATTTTATTATTATATTATTTATATTATTATTTTTTGTTGTTAAACGAATGGTTAAAAAATATGATGCTTTATTGCAATATTATACTACGTATTTCACTTTTACTACAGTCGTTTTGCAATTATTATTATTATTATAATAATTATTACCATTCAAATCGTTTTGCTGATTAGATAAAAACGCACTTGAAACGAATAGACGAGTATTAAATATCTATAGCACCTCTTGCAGTCAACATTTAAATAAACTAAAATATTAAACATTTTATTATGTATACCTATTCGAGTGATATTGAGTTAAATACCTATACGCACAGTTTCGAAATACATACGAGCAGAGGTAAAACAAATTAATAGAACCGTTTATATACGTGTATATATATATTTTTTTTTTTGCAACAAACGCACTAACCAAAAAGAAAAAAAAACAGCGTGTCCAATTTTGTAGTCAAGGCGAAGAGTTTTAGTTCCGTTTGGTTTGTGTTTTATATATGTATAATGTATATAAAATGTTCTCAAATAAAAAAAAAAAAAAATTTAAAAAAAAAAAACGGTACTCCACCGATAGTTTTTGTCGTGTATACGAAAACAATATTATTATTATTATTGCTGTCGGGAATTAATTATATATTTGAGTAATAATCGTGATGTCTTGCGATTTACTCGGTCGGTTTCAAAATAAAACACGATTAACCTTGTGAATGACACTCGCGTGCGACTTCTTGTTTTGTTCTGCAATCACATACAAACCCATATACGACCCAACATTTTTCGCCTATCGCCGTTAATCATATCATAAACAACGCGATTGCATTTTCGTGACCAATTTTTTATTCGAGATCGTTGACCGATTACTATAGATATCATTGTTATTAATCATAGAATGAGGTGACCTTTTTAATTTTTGGATTCGACGATTTGAAAAATTGAAATTATGGCAAAATTCAAAACACATTATAACTGTAAGTGGGAAAAAACAAAAAAAAAATCGAAACATTTTTGAAAAACACGCGTTTATCGAAGAATTATAATGGATACTTGTATCATTTTAAAATATATATAAATACAACGTTAAATATTTCAAAAATTAAAGATGTCGGAACTTTTATTGTACTTTGTTAGTGTACTATTGTAAAAATAAAAATGAAAAATTGACAAGTTCTACAATGCTTGAGAACTGGAATATCGTATCAGATCGCAGAAGCTGCAATCGACAGTACACCCACTTTCTGAACTCCTGCTATCAGTTTTCGATTTTCGTAACAGTAGTGATCTTAACTATACCGATCCTTCTGAATTCTTGGTTCCAATCGGCCAGTTGCCAATAAAATTTTAAATCGTGTTTTTTTTACTGAGATATCAGTACACTTTAGAAAATCGGCGTAGAGCCAACGAAGTAGCAATCCAACGGCCGACGGCTTTTGATTTCCCAGTAAAAATTACAAAAATCAAAAACATTATTTTAGGGCTTTTTAGTCTTTACCATGTATTATTCAACAATTTCTGTGTACTAACAGTTAAAAAAAACTTTTTTACAGTCGTCGTAATTTAACTTCAGAAAAATAAATTGCTTGAACACTCTGCACATATTAAATCAACAAAATATTTTCAAAAAAATATAAACTATAAAATGACTAAAATGCACTACTAAAATGAACTACTAAAATGCAATCCGAAATTGTATGGATACTAAAATAGCGAACTTGTTGCCAGAAGCTTTATTGAATTAAAATCGTAATTGTTTTGATATCGGTATGACTTATTGGCTAGGTACTAATTTCACAGGTTTATATTATTAGACAGCGGTGCACCACTTGTTGTGTAATCATCATACTGCATATTATATTAATCAATTTAACAAATAATAATGTACACGTCAGTAAAAATATGCGTTTCTGGAGTTGGCAAGTCAATAGTTATCTCCAAAAGTGTTATTTTTTTTCTTTGTAATACACTAGTACTGGTAAAAAATATTATTATTGGTACCTTACATTGAAACCGTATTTACTTAACCGTATTTATATTTATAAAGTTTTTCTACTCGCAATCTTATGTATGTATGTAGGTGTGAGTAAGGTTCATTGACAACATTTATTACGAAATGTATGTGTATAGGATACGAACGAATTCCTCACCTTCATATGCAGATAAAAAAATAAAACTCGTATTACATATTATAGATACATTGGAATATTATATAATGTCGGTAAAAATATTTTAACGTTATTTAAATCCGAATAAAATCCCCTGTCGAATTTTTCCGATTTTTAAACCTGTAGGTATATATACATTTTAGGTAGGTACTATTATACGAGTGATACATACAAAATGAGAGAAATAGATTATATGCTATAGTAATATATAGGCATACTATGCAGCAGAGAGTATAAATTGCACATCGTAGTATTATACGCCGAGTGATTTTTTTTTTTTTTTTCAAAATATTTAAACGACAACATCTATATATCTCCATGATTTGAATTTTGAAATTCACCAAATGATGAAGGTTTTTTTTCGTCTTCTGAAAGTTTAGGCAAGACGTATGCGAAATTGTTTTATAGGTTTTCCTATAAAGATTTCTATATGTATAATCCGTTCTGGCGTTTAAACGTGAAACCAATCGAAATTAGCCATTATTGTCTATAAGTCAATGAGCATAATATACCTAATTAATATTATTAATACGCATATCGAAATATTTCTAGAATATTGCCTATTAATTTTGTGCCTACTTATACGCATATTTAAAAACATTTTAATTCTACATTGAATATTATGTAATATACAATAAAACATCGATATTCAGGCAATATGGAACCGCTGTTTGTTGTACCTACCTATACCCTAATGTAACTGATAAAAGATAAATTAGTATGGACAGTCCCGTTACCGAAAAACAAAAAAAAACAGATAATAACATTTAATAAAAATTACGAATATATTTACTATCGAATATGCACGTATAAGTCGTTCGCTCAGAAATTGTCCTGTACGTTATTATCAGGAGCGTATACAGGAGCGGTTAGAGGTAAAACACCCCTCCGAAATTTAAAAAAACGAATCATATGCTACTAGTTCTATGATTAAAAATGTTTGTTTTATTTGTAAACCCCTCTTCGCCACAAAATTGTTTTCTGTATAAACGCCTGATAATTAATAATATAGTACCTAGGTATTTTTTGTTTTCGGGACGAGTTTATAGAAATATTGTTCTTATTTTTACTCTTCGGCAACACATAACGTTTATATATATGCATATTGAATTATCATTATTAAAATATAAAGTATCATCTGCATCAGTGATAATAAGCGACCTTAAACTCTTTTGGAAAGGTCAGACACATTATGAAGAATGAGAGTATGATGATAGTTGCGCGCACGCAAGTTGATTAAGTAATACACTCTATCGTCCGATGATGTTTCGACAATGTTAAAAAAAAAAAAAACACCAACCAATTCGATTATCGAACGTGTAGCAATATTATAATAATAATAATAATTAGACACGATAATATTTTTTTAACACGTGGCATACTTATAGTATATATGGCTGTGTAATACTACGTAATATTTTCGGTTTGATTAACGAAAAAATAATACCTACACAATTTTAATAAGGAACTATTTTTTTTTTCAAGTCAAATCCTGCATAGGTACGATTATTGCGAAATAGATATCATGTAAGTAATCAACTGATATATGCAACTAATAGTTAAATAATCAATTGCCTAGTTAAAAAGTTAATTTTTTTTATAAACTTATAGTTAATAATTAAATCGAGATGATATTTTTTTTGTTACCTAACTATTACAGATTAGGTTAACGATGGTTAAGTTAACATAATTGATGGGTACTAAATAAACTCGAATTTTGCATTGCGGTTATTTTTCACAAGCCCGGTTAAGTTTTAAAGACCCGCAAAAATTGAATATAAAAAAGTAAATAAACATAAAGATGACCTTTTTTTTTCACAGACTGTATTTTTAACATTACTTCTTATAACAGTGGGGTTCAGGGCTTGTAGCACTAAACATCAACAAAAAAGCATTATTTAAACTTCATTATAGCCTTAAAATTAACGCTTAAACAATTTTTTAAATACTTATAAAAAGTATTTTTTTTTTGAACTTTCGAAATAAGCACACTTTAACTTGTGATAACATGGTATAAATTTACATAATATTCTGCTATAGATTTAAAAAAAAAATTGTATGCAAGTTCCGAACCCGGCTTATAATTTTTCTAGTATATAACCGAAGGGATCGGAAGCGGTGATTTTCTGTCTTCGCCTTACATATACGGGCAACATAAGAATTAAGACGTATTCTATTTCCAACGTACCGATCGGTAAAGTGAAACGATAATAATTTTGAAAATAGATTTGAATTTGTCGTCAAGTATACTTAAAATTGACTTACCGACATTTTTGATTTTTAATCCCCTTAAATAAAATATGCATAATAAAAATCTAATATTTTAAATTTTGGAGAAATAATTAATATAAAATATCAAAATAGTGGGGAAGTCTATCTCAATTAGAGACTTGACGACAAGTTCAAATCTGCGTTCGAAGTATTCATCGTCTCACTAAATCAATAGCGGTACGTTGGAAATATAACCGTCTAAATTTCTATTTCACACGTGTGTAAGCCAAAGACAGAAAATCGCCGCTTTCTATCCCCTTAAGTTGATTAAGAGTTAGTAAACAAATTCTTTTTGATTAACTCGCAGCCCGTCGCTTTTCCCGAGGAATAGAGAAAAAAATAATTTTTTTAAGAGAGAGAAAGAGAGAGAACCACCAGATCTAAACTAAACCATAACGCAGTCGTTCGAGGTAACCCGTTGACCCGCAGGTTTGTATGTTATACAGTACATATTATTAAAATATTATGATATTATTAATGTAGGACCTCGCACATTTTATTGATTCATGTCGAGGTCCTTCACCCGTTGAAATAATATCGTATAGTTATACCTATAAATACCTAATAATAAAGTGATCTATAGGACAAGGTTTATTGAGTTGGAAAATACATATTATACTGTATAAGCGGGTTGTGTGCTGCAGCCATACAGTGTTGTTAGACATTTTAGCGAAAATAAAAACTTGACATTTTGATTCACGTGGTTATTTGGGTTATCGCGTCAGATTAAAAAAAAAAAAAAACGAGGTTAAAATTTATAAATATGTAATAATTTTTTATTTTTTATTTTAAACTGATATAGTATACGAGAAACGGTACCGTAACAATATAATAATTAGTAATAACTAAAGCAGGTATTTATATATGCTTTAAAAATCTTTAGACGTATATGCAGATATGCACTAAAAATACCAAAATATGTCGTTGAAATATTTTCAAACAAATTTTAAAAGTGTACGAAATCTTTAAATATGCTGCAAAAATGTATAAAATCCTTAAAATATGCTCTAAAAAAGTAAATTGGTATTAGATTATGAAACGCAATTTGGTATAAATTAGCGATCTGTTGATCAACCTATACAAATATGCAAAAGGATATTAATATTTGCCCTAGTAATAACGAATTTTATTACAAATAGCCGCGTATAATATAACAATATGAGATCGATTTAAATTTATAATAATATCATAATATTATTATTGTTCGAATTTCGTCAAAAAATATGTTAGTGGTAAAAATTATGTAACCCGATTTGAAATTTTGATTGCTCTTATAGTCTCATATAGACGTAGATTTGTTACCTTTATGGAGGAAGGAGGATAAACCGCCTAGAAACAGGAGCAACTCCTCCTCAATCGCAGTCTATATTCACAGTATTACGGTATCAAATATCATCAGTTACAAAAATATTTTCCGTTGTATTGTAATACGTGTTAACGTATGTTTCAAATATTTTTGTTTTATTTCGTGATGTAGAGACAGGGGACTCAGAAATGAATTGGAAAGAATTGGCGGTAGATAGAGAGAACTGGAAGAGAATTTGTTTAATGCACGGAATGGTCTTAAAAGACAGAAATCCGAAGATTATTTCGTGTTAAAAACTAAAATTGCATTTGTTGAATTTAATATGATTGATTGATAACGTGTTTTGAGTGATTCGACTTGTATATTTGATAATAGGAAGTATAGACACGAGTATATCTTCTTATTATTAATATTTGAACTATGAAAAATCAACATGTTAAATAAATATATAAATAAAAAACGTATATATGAAAATAAAATTAAAAAAAAGGAATCAATGCGAAATGTATATATTTATTTACTTTATTATTTACGAGTGTTAACCATTTTTAATAGTTTTGTTTTTACTTAATTATTTTTTTTTTTATAAAGAATCGTCTTTGTTTACCCTTAAACGCAGCTGTTATCGTAAATGAATTTTTATAATATAATTATATTGTATTAACCGTCTTGGGAACAAGTGCGTTATCATCCTCGCGAAATGATGAAATGATCCCGTTCCGCGCACACTAAACGCGATTTAATACAATAATAATGATATACCTTAGAAGGATTACGAAGTATATTATAAATAGCATTTAGAAAGAGTCTTCTCGCAATCTGGTCAAAATTAATTATCCCGCGTGAAGATAATATTATAATTATAAGTATCGACAAAATTAAATTAATAAACGCGTTTGTAATTTTTTTTATTCGAAATAAATCAAAGTCGTGGCCGTGCACATTATACGAATTATATAATCCACTCGAATAGGTTGATTTTGATCATAGGTGAAATATTAAATAGTCGAAAAAAAAACATTCCAAAATCGGATTTGAAAAAAATAGTTATTGTTTATGGATATCGAAATTTGAACCATACAAATTTGGACAGTATGATTGAATTACATTACGTTTAAACTGTCCAAAACTATCGGTAATTATAATTTCGTTGAAATTCAATTATTTGACTTTTCAGATTTGTACCGACGTTCCAGATTTGTACATTTCGGGTTTTTACGTTCGCCCGTTTCGTTTGTGACGGTAATCGTGTATACGGGCATCAGACGTCTGACGAATACAACTGCTCTACAAACGAATTTAAATTTAGAAATACTCTACAAACCATCATGATACACGGAATACAATTAGCTGGGACAAAACTCCAGCTTGGTTATAGGCAGTAGAGCAGCGGTGAGTGTTGTTTTCGACAACTATTTGAAAGCGTAAACATAAATATATATATATATATATATATATATATATATATATATATATATATATATATATATATATATGTACATATAATGTAATGTATTTGCGTACATAATAGGTATCCAGATATTATACAGAGAAAGCCATATTTAAGTCGGTAAATTTATGCGCATTGGTGACAAAAGATAATAATTGTACGGCGAAATTGGCAGTGATACACACGATTTAACTATGTATAGGATGTATACGGGATAGCCGGTGCTCATATTTTATGACAATGAATCACTACGGGAAATATCGAAAACGAGAGAAACTTACAATAGGTAAGTAAGTAGGTAGGTATTTAATAGGTAGGTACGACATTTCTGCGGCGGTACATGTCGCGGGGATTTTTTAGAGAAACCGCGGACGCCGCTACAAACAATAATAATATTATTACTATTTCATACTCGTACTTTCAAAAAGACATTTGTTTTGTTTTTTTTCAAAACTTATAATCGTAGATAATTTAAAATTATATCAGTATTATAACATTCCGGAGTAGATCCACGAGAATTGCATGTTATTATTATTATTATTATTATTATTATTAAGAATAAGAACGATAGTGCATTATTATCATCGTTCATTATAAGTATCAATCTGCTCGACGTGCAGCGAATTAAACGATCGACGAAAGCAAAATACAAATTATTGTAAACAAAAGATGAAATACCGCAATATTATTATGCTAGTGATAGTATTTTCATAAACAAAATCTTGTATGCCACATTATAGTTTAGTACATTTATTCGCCGTTAATTTTGCAGCATACTCGCAACAGTTAATAGAATATATTGTGTAACACTAATAAATAAAATTATTGAAATTATTTCGTGCGAGTTACTTACCGAGTACGGTCGATAGGTTATGGGTTATATTAGGTTTTATACAGGTCGTTAAGGTAACTTTGTGTCGTATTGGCTTTAGTTCCCAGAAAGTATCCTGGAAAAACAAACAAACGCATTATTTTTATAACCTTATAATAGTTTACTGTTAAAATCGTAATGGTATACATTTTCACAATAATTATTAATAATACAAAATAAAAAAAAAAAAAAATCGATTGATACATTCTATTTTAATAGAACAGGGAGGTACAATAAAAGTATGTAATAAGAAAAAAACAAACAATGTGATAAACATAAAAACTTTAAACATTTTTTTTATTATTATTATTCGGAATGGTAAATTTTTAAAATCTCTACACCAATTAAGCTTAAGGCGTCCTAGGGGAATTCCCGGGAATATTTATATATATTGGGTTTAAGATTAGAGGATAAGACGTGAATGGAACCTATTTTATAAATGTTTTGCCTCTTCTTGAACGGTTTTTATATGTAAGTCTGCGTGAAGGATGAGATTGGACATATATTATAATGTGGGGAATTGGTGATTTGTCTGAGGGTAATGTTTTGGAATGTTTTGTATTTTGTTTAAGTAAGAAATTTTGGCTTTTCTCCATAACTGATGGTCGCTGATCCAATTTGGCCAAATTGGTTTACGGAGGGATTTGTAGATTTATAGTTTGGTATTTAATTTTGTATGTTTATTATAGACCGTTAGTAAATTCGTAGAGTTTAATTTGTGATCGTTTGGCTTTGATACGGTGAGCTTATTAAAAAGACATATAGCGTTACGTTCAAATTTTTTTTTTGTTTTTATCGCGATATATAATTTCTAATGAACCTCATGGTAAATTTTTTAGTGATTCTGGTTATGACCAAAACAATTTTCATCTATATAAAACAACCAAAATTATTTGAAAACTCATAATGCTTATATATAGTTGTAAATAGAATATTTTAAATATTTACCGCGTTCATAAAGATTTAATGTAAATTTCAGATTGCTACAATGATATTGTTTAATATTTTGATTTCGTAATTATAGTCATTAACGCGCTTAAACAAATCAATAGTTCAATTAAAAATGCATATTTATCGATAAAAAATTAATATATACGTATTACGCGCGAGACAGATAGAGGAACGAAACTATGTGTAGAGAATCCTTAAGAGTGCCGCTACACCCGCATCGTGTTTCAGTCTTAATTAACGAGCAACATAGCAAAATTACGTTACTTAGATCGTAAATTGTGGCATTTTTGTTAAAATTAAAATTTATATACAACTAGCAACATTTAAAGAGGAAAATATTCCTAATGGATAAACATGACTCTTTTTTAAAAAATTGTTATACGAAAAAATCATAAACATGTTAATTTTTGTTTTTTTTTTATGTATATTTTGTTTAGAAAAACGTCCTTTGGAAATAATCTTATCTTCTTTGAGTGTTGCTATTTGTGTTTAAACTTGAATTTCAACAAAAACGCTGAAATTTAATGAATGTACATTTGCAGATACGTTACACGATAGTTAGACTGAAACGGTAGATGCGGATCCTCTTAAGTATAATTGATATTTATGCGTGAGCGGTTATAAATTTAAACGCGTATTTATACGAATACAAATCGGTCGAGCGCTTTACTTTCGAGTTATGACGATTCTAAATACGATGGGATAGTTACCTAACACTCGTGACGATCGGAAGTGGATGCTGCAAACGGGGTTTCGGACGTTTTTTTGGCAACGATTACCTATTATATTATATTATTATATTGTGTAGTTGTACACACTGTGCAGCGAGTATAGAATTTTAAACACCGACCTATGTGCGCGCTGCAAAGGGATCGAGTCCATATACGTAACGTTATATTATTTTTAGGCGAGTTTTTCGTGTTGCACGTGTCCATTACATTACATATTATGTTATTATAATATTAGGTGATGACCTTTGCCTGCGCGATGCCAAACCGACGACCGTGTTAACAAAAGTGATTTTAACAACAAAAATAATAATAATAATAATTATATTATATTAAAACGTTTTGTACAAAATTATGCGTAGCTGTGGGTATTTTATAAATATTATTAAACGCCGAGGTATTTAAATTCTAAAATAACGCACGTTACATATTATATTATAACGATTCACATTCTAGTATTTTTTAAATTCTAAGAGAAGCTAGTTGAAGAATAACAAATCACTTATCACATATCTCATTCGGTGAATTATAACGAAAATTTGTCCGGAAATATTACTTATAAATTACACGTAGTTATTATAAACATAGGCTCGTGAAGGTCATCATTGAAAAAAAAAAATACGATTTTTGTTCTTCTTCGTCAAGGAAATTTCAATACGTTTAACACACACACAAAAAAAAAAAAAAAAAAAAAAAATGTAATAATAGATACTTAGAACGAATATTGAAATGTAGTAAAACACGTAAATGTATAACAGAGAGGAAAAACCCAACATAAGGTAAATTCACAAAGTTACACGTTTTACTTCGAGGCAATATAATATAATGCATATTGTATATTTTCGAGTTTCGATTATACACAATTATTATTATATTACTACGAGTATACCGACAAACAATATAATTATTATTTGAATATAATTGTATACGTGTATTACAGCCGAAACGTGACAAATATTATTTTTATCGTAATAATAATTATTATCGTTATTCATTGAGTACACATAATATAATATGAACAATAAATTATATTGTAGGCATATACGCGACAAACGATTAATTTTTTGTAAATGTCTTTTTAGTCGAATCGTTGTCAGATCATTAAATATTAAAGTAAAACACTCTTTGCAGCCGCTAGGTCGTAGTTATAATATATAATACGATAATGTTATAGCGGAAAATAATACAGTTATTGTCTTTCGGTTAATTATACATTGGTATAATTAAGGTAGACTTGCAGACGAAATGGGTAATAAACAAAAAAAAAAAAAATGTTAAGTGGTCCAATAACATAATTTTTATACCACCGGTTTAGAGGATATATCTCTATATTTTTCTCGGCGTATTTATAATTCATATATTTTTTTATTCTAGTTTATCATACGAAACATAAGACAAAGATTTAAAGGGCCGTTCTGACCAACATAAACGTGGATTTTTAAACGAAGTTTATAAGATCGCTGACCAATCGTGATCGGTTATCAGCCTTAAACTCAGTTTAAAAATCGGATAAATGAAATAAAGCGCTTATGTTTGTGAGAACGATCCTAAGTATATTTACTTACAGCCTGTAGGAGCAACGTTAAGTAGTGAAAACAGCCCAGTGAGTTTATAGGCGTTCTCCTATAAATAAGACAGAAAAAGAAATATATTGTGTTAAAAAAAGTAGTTTCGATTCAAACTACTCTCTGTAGGAAAACTAAAATTTAGTTATGCGTACCTAGCGATAATAGTATAGAGTGTAAACCAACTTTTACATACGGCTGTAAAGCGTGGACAAAAACTAGCCAGACAGAAAGAAAGCTGGAGCATTTCGAAAACGAAGTATGGCGAGCAAGAATTTTTAGGCCTGTTTATGATGATTAAGACATGTAATAAATAGAGGAGAATTAAAATGATGGTACCATATTATCAGAGCAGCGCTAGAATGGAAACTGCGGGGAAATGACGTTGATGGCATAGGTGAAATTTCATTCAAATGTCAAAGTTTATGCTAGTTTTATTAGACATGTAAAACTAAGTATTGGTCCGCTCTTAAATAAAATTACTATACATTTAACGCGGAAATGTTTTTTAGGGGGACTTAAGCCTCTTTTTTATTTTCGCCTACGATGAATGGATCAATTTAGTTAAAGAGAATCCGCTGAAGTGATATGGTCCAAGGCAGCGATAGAGAGTTGTGCTGGCCAAAAGAAGAACAAGAAGATAAGAAAAATTGTAATATAATATTGATATGTATGCGGACAGTTATTAATAAACCGACAACATTTCTCGTCTGTTTTTCGGCCAGCTAAAAATTTAAAAACAAAAAGCAGTAAACGTTCTTCGGCCGAAACCGGCTCGTTTTGCTCAAAATCTTCGCGCCGGTTAGCCCTGTAAATATAATAATCCCTCTGTACAATCTGTACGTCTTTATATTTGTTGATCACGTGACATTTGTTTGCGGGTGTATTAGTGTACGCAATAATAGGGTTGCGGTTGAATATTATTGCCTCATAAATACAGTATACAGGTAATTGTATGCGATAGTTAGTAACGGTAATTATTGTTGTTACACGATGTATATGTAACGCGGTCGCGACGAAAAGTGACAGTTTTTGTTTTTCATTTTATTTTATTCCTCACCCCCCCCCCACCGACACGTCAGATGGCGCGTATAGGTGTATACTTATATACCGGGTTGCCTATATTAAAATACGCGGAGGGGTTACAGTTGGTAGATACACTCGAAATCGATATGTATTTTAGGGCACAAGTTTACAGCGCCGAGCCGCACACAAACGGAAATATAACAAACGCGTGTACGGGCGGCACACGCACACGACCGCCGCGCACGACCCTTCTGCAGCAGCGCGTTAAGTTTCGTGTGCCTGCCTGCTTACCTAACTATATACACACACACACACACACACGTAGGGGAAATATCTGGGTCAAATCCCGGCGCCATATTAAACATATACAACCTCCCCTATATCTATACGTATAACCGGGAGAGACATCATGACCGAGAAAACGACCGCGTCACGCACACGTTGTTCCAGACGCTCGTTTATCACCGCCGACGCCGAGTCTTCCTTCGCGGAACCCACACACCCCGCCGACCGTAGTGCGACCGTTGTACGCGACGGTGTTCTCGGTGTCCTAGGTCTTTTCCGCGGCCCGGCAGAGAGGGATGAAAGTGCACATTTTATTTTTATTTTTGTTTTTCCATTAAGTTCATCACCACCGTCCATTCGCGGGGGTCTTTAAACAATTTCGACTTCGATAGGCCTGCCGGGAAATCGGAATTTTCCCGACAGGCCCCTGCTCGTACCTTATTACGGGTCCCTTGCTCCTTGATCTCGAGATCTTATTTTTGGTTCAAATTTGTCTGTAGATGTTCCATAGCTGCGAACAGTAGGGGGACGGAGAACATACTGAATCCTAACGTCTTTTGTATGTTTCACACAATATTTGAAAAATGAGTTATAGCTTTTTTTTTGTCTTTTGCTCATCGCATTTTTTCCGAGGCTCACTACAAATCGACGAGTACTCCTAAATAATATACATATATTTTAATATAATTTCCAACGAATCCGATAGAAATTACGTGTACTACTACTACTACATAAAATCGACTTGCGTCTTGAAGTGGTTTAAAAAAAAATAAATATATATTATAGCGTTTTACTATAGGTTAACGCGTAGTGTTTTCAGAAATATTAACTATTCATAAGAATATGCATGTATATAAAAGTAGTATACAGTCAGGCATCACGTAAACCACGTGCACTTTTTGTGCAAAGGCTCGAATACGCGACTTACAACTTAACTGGCAACGGCGAGTCGATTTTAATGGTACGTACGGTTACGTTGGCAATATCGACAAGCCACGATAATCGAGCACAACCGACCGCGTTTGTAACATTATGCAGCTCGGCAGGCTGGCAAACTTCTACAAAAATATAATATCGAGTGCATCACCAAGTGCGCGAGTATAAGTAATAATTATTATTAATATAATAATATTATCGTCGTTTTCATCGCAAAGTGAAAACGAAACTCGTTAACTAGAGTAAACCGCGTTTATCTATACATAACTTGTTTTTATTTATTAATTTATTACTACCGTTTCATTCATAACATTTTTAGTCCCCGCGGGGAAAAATTGCTCATTAGATCAATTTTCTATAGCTTTTAATAAGAGTGAATTCAATTTTGAATATAGATAGTACAATAGTTTTTAAAATACGCTATTATGTCATTTACACCAAACAACAAAGGGGAAAAAATTATATGTCAAAAAAAAACATGTCAAAAATGGTGTTTAAACTCTTCTTCCTTGGGACAAAAGATGTACGTTTTCGATATTCGATAATTTAAAGGGTTCAGACAATGTAGTACACAGAATTGTTTACTGGAAGAAGCTATAAACATTAAAGTAAATGGAAATTAGGTATCCAGAGTGTAACAGGACTATTTGACATTTTTATATAGTAGTTACAAGTAAAAATGTCAAATAGTTACACTCTGTATATAAACACCTATATAGTAATGTAATATTTCTACATATATTGTAATATAAGGTTTTTTTCTTGGTCTTATTTTGCAAAGTATAGATACATAATATCGTGCAATAAAAATATTTCTACTTGAGTCAGTATATTGTATACAGTGCAAATGTGCAAAGATTATTATTTTATTATTAGTTATAAGTTGCCAACGTTGAATAAATGCTCAATTGAAGCCGAGGGTGGTCCTTTTGTCCACCCCTCACTGGTAGGTACGTTACTGGGTTCTGGGAAAGAATAGTAGTAATATTCAATTACAATTTCAGGACAAATTTTAAAGTTTCCTATTCTCATATTTTCATTTAATACATTTTCACTGGACCAATATATTCGTGTTCCAAAAGGACATTTTGATAGTAGGTACTCGCCGAGACCAAGCAACAACAAAAAAATTACTTAAAAAAAGATGAACATACTACGGACAATGGGTGAGCCACTAATGCAGATGAGAAGTTGGGAAGGAAAGACAGAGGAATTTTAATTTATAAATATAAACGCAACGATAAACCATTGCTGACGAAAAATGATTCGGAGTGAAGTTTCTTTTACACATATACGTACATTTTACCGTTTTTCTTACGTTTTTTCCCAATTATAATGAAAATCATATGGAAAATCAAAAAATGATCTCTCCAAAGTACCAACTAGATAAAATTCCCTTTTAGTGGATTTACATTGAATACATCAGAGCAAGATTCCCGGTAGAAAAGTCGCTCCTAGAAAGAAAAAAAAATGTATTTCATTGGTAAATTAATACATTTCTCATTAAAATTGACTAGAAATTCTTGTTCTATCCCCGGATCCTTCAATTATTACTATTACTATTACTATTATTATTATTATTATTATTACAGTTGTCATTTCCTTTTTTTTTTCACACGTTTACAATCTGATCAATCGGTTTTTTATTGAAAATTATAAAACTCATACGTATGTATTTTTTATTTTTAACGACGACATTCTATTCGTCGATTATTACTATGCGCGGATTAATATAGCCTTGTTTAACGATAATAATTATTATTAATGAACCACCACCGCTGTCGAATCGTTAATTGGGTCAGAATTATTTAATAATAATAATAATTAGTAAAAAATATCATTCGAAAACCCGAGGGCGTATTTACAGACCCTATACGTGTTCGATTCGAGCCGAAACGTAACCGAGTTGGTTTTGGGATTTACGAGAAATCTTATAAAACATAACCAACTTTTTGATCGAAACCTGGTTAATGATTATGCATCAAAATTAAGCAAGTGTCCTGTAAACGTAAACCTAAAACCTTATAGGTTGTAGTCGATGAAAAACCACGACGGGACACGTGTTTACATACCGATTGGGTCCGTACTTGGATATAGGATGTGCAAATACGCAACCCGGGGAGGGCTGAACGGGACCAGGACCAAGCCCGTTTCGTTTACATAATATACGAAAGTGGTATAATACTATTATACACGGTTATCTATGTATAGATAACAACAGCAGAGATAATCGCGGTGGTATAATGCACGACATCATAATTCATGTCATAAATTCGCAGCGACAGCGACGATGCGGTTCCAGGGTAATGGCATTGGATATCCGGCTAACAAAATATAATAATACACATGCTTTTGCTCAAACGTTATCTGCGGTTTGTTCTCTGATATCAGAGAATAATATATTATTATTTAGTTTTAGTGCCGAGTTGTTTATGTGCGATTACGTAATTAACGAAAAACAACGAAATTCTCACGGACCACCATCATCGTCGACCAACATAGTAATATTATTATTATTTCAGTGGCACGTGAAAGGAAGTGTACTTGCCTACATATTATAGTGTGTCAAAATCGTTAAAAGTTAAAACCGTAGTCAGAACCCGAGAAAGAGTTTCTCGGACGTGTGCCTCGGCGATGACGTTTTCACTATAAGTGTAATAATATAATTCGACCTTGTATATTATATTTTATTATTTGCTAAAGTCGACCTTGAACAATTTTTTGTTCCCTTCCCCTGGATTCTACCACTATATGAGTGTAACATTACACCTCTATTCGAAAAATATAAATAATTTTTAATTTACAGACGAAAATTAGGCAATTATGGGGCCACATGATTTTTCGAAAATAATTTAGGTGTAACATAGTATAGAACTTTACTATATAGACTATAGAGCACGATTATCTTAGATAACCGTGGTATAGTCGTAGAGGTAACTAGAGGTATTATTGAACGACGCGACGATGGCGTAAATGTTATTATAATTTATGGGTACAAGACCAAAGGTTGTATACAGACGAGACAATAATAATAATAATAATATGAAAATATCTCATACGAAATATTCCACAAAGAGGAAAAGCCCAAGTTAAATATATCATAATACGGAGTCGAGTGTTACCTATTATCTACTGTTTGTTGATAACGACCGAATCTCGAAATATCACGATAAAATCATCACACCGAAAAACCCTATTATTTCCCAATATAATAATATAGTAATATACCGTATTTTAAAATTAGGATTAAAAATGGGCAAGGAGACAATATCCCCTTCCACCATAAGCTTTTAAACACAGCAGCTATAAGTATTTATTTGATAATTTAATTTTGAATTGATGTAAATTATATTTCAGCCGCGTTACAACTTACAAGGAAAAGTTTAATTGCCAGATTAAAAATTAGTTTTTCGGCTTTTAAATTCCCATTGACGAATTGGATGAAAAAAATCGGGTTCTACGATTAATTCATGATTAATATTTACTGTATCCCTTTCCATTGAAAATTCCCGAACACTCTACTGAGAGGATGCCACGTTTCTCCATTCCCCCGGAGCCGCTGGTCCCTTAAATCGGACGCAAATGTTTTTTTTTTTTTTTGTTTTAATTTAATTAATTCGTACCTCAGGTACAAAAGACCGAACGACGTTATATTTATAATAATATTATTATAACGATGAATCGACGACAAGTAGGTCGGAAGCATCTTATAGTTCTTCTACTATTACTATACCAATGTTTTCATTGTATTTTAATGCTGTTCGCGATATTTTTTACGATAATAATACTACATTCTATTGTATTTTGACCCCTTTCCCTGTTAACACGCGCATTATAACGCGTAGGTCGTTGTAAATATTACACAGCTATATATAATAAGTGACCAAAAGTAAAAGCGTATTTATTTTAATCAGTATTATAGGTATAGACAATAGCGCGCATTAATAATTATTACAATATTAAACGTCGTTAAGGGTTTAGACGGTTTTAAAAATTACATTCAACTTTTAATCGTAATACGAATAAATCAATCAATATTTTTTTGTAAAATATATTTCAGAAAAAAAAAAAAAACTGTTAATGTAAAACAGTATTATAATAATTACAATTTTGTAATGAGATGCGATAATATTATTCATTAGATATTTAATTTTCAATATTTTATTCATTATACCCGGCCGTCGTTCATAATAATAATATTCAGGACAAAGATAATAATGTTTACGTAGATTATGATTACGCCGGGTAAACAAAATTTCGTATAGGTATAAAACAGTTTTAAAACAAACCTTCGTTAAAATCATACGTACACCATGGTGCTTAAAATTAAATTTGTTTTTTTTTATTTTTTGTATTTTAAACGTATTACGTGTGATGTCACCATTGTTTAAAATTCAACTTAAAATAAAACACACCTCATAGTAAACCAATAATTGTATATTTGTATGGACAGAATCTAAAACAACATGTTGGAACACCTTTTCAATTTGTTCTACACGAAATTTAAGAGCCTCGGAAAAAATGTATCATCAATTCATCAATTTTAAAGGTTCTTTTTTATACAGTACTTTTATCAGCTGGTAACAAACAGTCGTAAATACATCAATAAGTACCGTTGATATTTTAATTAATAGAATAAAAATATTCTAAATTCATTTGGAAATCTATAAAGTTTACCTTCACTCGCCTCTTGTAATACTTCGAGTCAAAATTTTTGAACATGTTTTTTTTAGTTACGAACCAATTAAAATCGATAAATATTATTATCCAACTAATAATAATATACTAACTATTATACTAACTAGTAAGTAGTAAATCTAATTATTCGATTATTTGTTATCGTTTGAAATTATCTAGAAATATTTACCGAATCCAACTTCACATGCATAATATTTTGCAAACTCTATTTAAAATAATGTTAATCTAATGGTTATTTTATCGATAACAAATAAACTGTATGGGTCATCAATTGTTCATTGTTTATTAGCAATATATATAACATTGGTATACCTATTAAAGACCGCTGTTGTAGTTTAATCAGTCAATTACGATTATTATGCATACATTAAGTAAATAAGTCAATGGTGGATCTATAAGGGATAATCGAGGAATTTTCTCCCCTCATCCCAAATAGCGTAATATAAAGTATACGCTTTTCCTGTGTGATTCTCCCCTTCCAAAATGATGAGATCTGGATCCACCACTGAAGTGATTCAAGTGAATAATGTTTTACCGAAAAAGTTTTACAAGGAAAATATTGAAATAAACAATATAAGTATATAGTTATATAGTTATATTAGTTATAAGACACTAATAAGCAGCTTTTAAAAACCTTACTAAGGTTTTATAGTGCTAAAAAAAGCATTTAAAAAATATTTAAATAAGTAAAGAAATATAGTAATAAACATATTTCTTTATTGTTTTTATTGTCGAAATAGGCCAAACAAAGTACTTTCAAATTTCATATTAAAATTCTTGCATCAATCTTTGGTTAAACTACATCATGGATTTTTATTGTCCAATGCTCCGCAGCGACGACCGAGGCGACAAATAGATAAGATAACAAAAATACAAGGTGAAAAGTTGAATACAATGGTGAAATTATTTAAAAATCTGAGTTTTTGGTAGTAGCTTACATAATTACGAACATAAAAGTTTTTCACAAAGACTCTATCCAAGTAAAAAAAAAAAAAAACATATTAGGAAATGTCCAGTAGTTTTTTTTTATAATAATATGGCGAAAATATTCGATTTGAAAAATATTGCGATTCGGGATATAATAATGATAATAATAATAAGTATGCACTGCAGTGTCTGCAGTTAGCATAAAGAAAAAAATACAATACTATATATCAATAACTTACCTTATACTATTAATTTATTATGTTGGTCGTAAAGTCATAAAAATATTGTAATTCATCATTTCACGCCCGCAATGACAACACCTTTTAATCATTTTATTAGATAATATATAATACCACGCGATTATATAGAAATTAATAAATAAATAACGGCAGGTATACAGTGTTTACATCTTAAATTTTTTATTGCAAATATTAAAATGTACGGTGTATCTAAATACGCGTAATGTATAGGAAATCGGATCAATAAATTATATTTTTTCATTTAGGTACTCGTCGACTGTTTATAAATAATATACCTTCTTCTTCATACCAATTATTTGAGGTGGGCCACCCTCGTCCCAAACTTCCACTTGAACCGATCTCCCATATCGTTTTCGTATACACCCGCCATCCTCGTATCATTCTTTATCCCATCCAACTACCTCTTTTTTCTGTCTTTCCCTCTTTTCTACAACGTTTATTTTCATTTTAATTTTTACGGCGTCTGATTCGTCTCTCAATTTCATGTCACGCCCAATCCATTTATGTCAATTTTTTTCTCTCATTTTTTCTACAATGGAAGTCAGGTTTATCTATATCCGTCAGTTATCTAAAGTCTATTATCTATATCTGCGGCGATGGCACGCTGCATAATATATATATATTTTTTTTAAATTTGTGGAAAATACATGTTCGAATAGAATAATATTGTTTTACATATATACTGAAATTTATTGCTCAATTTTTTTTTCACTCTCTGTGCCGCAACAATGACCTTGAGAACGCAGTTGCCGCTGCTGTTAATCACATGGTATACCTAATATTTATTTATGATTTTATTATTATTATTTTTTAAGCAATATCGTCGCAAAATTATTATTCAAAAAGTTTTTTCGCCTACCTCTTTTTTTTTCTTTTTTTCAACGTAGGTACACGAAATATAAATAATTTTACGAGTATACAAATTTTGCAGAAAAATACATTATCACTTTCATTGCTTGTACTCTTGGATATTTTATAATATATTATAATAATAATAATAAAAAAACTGTTTTAAACGTAAAAATATTCAAGTACATCGCTGCTCTAATCAATTCGATATTATAAATAGGTAATCGACATTATCATTGATGGACTTTACATTATTTATTAATACATAATATATATGTGTGTACATTAAAATATGTACAATATATAAATATAATTGAAATTTAATACGCATGTTGACCATTAAAAATATTTAACAATCAACACGACTGTAGCGTTGCGATGATGCTCGGCTGTTACCGAAATAGTATTGGCCCAATATATTGCACGATGATAATATTAAAATAACATAATATTAATATTATAATATTTTTTTAAAAAACTGTATGATACAGGCGCCGAAAGATTTATTTTCGTGAAAATGGTTTTTTTTTCTTTCTTTTTTACGACGAAAACTACAGTCTACGGATAAGAGCGCAAAGAAAAAAAAAATCCTCGCTCGTTTTTCTTAGATTGCGTAATTTTTCACCTTAACATATATAAACAGGTATACACTATAACGTGTTGTTAATACGTCGCTATGTACTATGCAGTTTCAAATCGATTTCAATCTCAACCGGCGGACGGTACGCAAAAATAAAAACCGAAAGCGATAACCTGCATACTGCAGCATAATAATATTATGTTTACGTCGAATAACGGTAATTTTTTTTAAAAAAAAAGCAATAATATCAAATCCTAATCGTTAATTTAAACATTTTAAACGCTTTCCCGTATACACCCAACTTACCTCCTAACCGTCAAACGTCGTACCTATACGCGAGTAATTTTCGACCGACCGATCGGTGGTCTTCACGATTGGTCGTTGACCTACGTCGTTTTCGGTTTTTAATTAACCGTTTTAGAAAAACAAAAAAAAAAAAAAAACCTACAATTTATTGGAATTACACTGCGATGGCGTTCGCGGGGACACGTCCTTTAACGGTCGGCGCGCTTCGTCCAAGGTGAAATTTCGCAGCTTCGTCCCCTCTTCCCAGGAAAATTTCGCCGATACTCGCGGTATTTGTGTACGCAAAATATTAAAAGAAAGTACCCAACTGTTATCAAACCGGGTTCCAATATGGGTACCTAATATTTCAATAAAACGCCGAAAAACAAACGTACTGCGCAATATATAGGTACGTACACGCGCGCATGCAATCAAAATTTGCATTTCGACGGAGGTGAAAGTATACAGTAAGCACACGCGTAGAATATGAAAATACACACTGGGGCCCAATCACACTTAATACTGAAGACTAAATTACTTCGAATGTTATTAAGACTAAGCCCTCCTAAGCACACGCCTCCCCCCCTAATATGTACGCCTGCAAAAGGCATGCAAAGGGATGGGATGAGTCGATTTGAAAAATCTAATCGTCTATAGAATATACACAGAGGTAATAATCCATTGGAAGAAAATCGTATAGATACCGTGCCTTTGGATTTTACGAACGAAAAACACGTGATTCCTCATTTTCGGTTATGCGATCCGAAAATATTCCCGTGTCGATGTGTCGATGAGTGTAATACGAAGACCAGACAACTGAAATAACTTAAGTTCTTTTCGGTGTTTTTATATTTTTTTTTTTTCTTTCTTGTAATGATTTCTAGAGCGTTACGATGCATTTGTTTTATATTATTTTTAGAGCTAAAAGTGAAAAAAATTGTTTTTGTTAAATTTAAGATAGTTTTGGTGTTACAAATATCTACTAATGATGAATCGTTGAGTTTCTACATTTTTGTGTAGTTTAACGAAAATTGATTAATTAACAAAATTGTTTTTTTGCTGACAAATTAGTGAATCGATTGGCATTATATTATTTAGTATAGTGACAATTAAAACAATTTCAGCAATCGATAACTTCCGATAGATTTTAGAAAATTAACGGCTCGTCACTAAAGTAATCAGTAAATGCTTGTAACGACAAATTTTTGTTTCGACATCTAATATATATATATATATTTCAGCCAAATGCCACTCACTCACTGATCGCTGTATCTCGAAAACTACAAAACCTACGAATTTGAAATTTGAAAAATATTGCGTTTAAGTGGATCAATTAATAATAATAATTCATCGCCAAAACGTATTAACAATCGAGTTATTAATTTTTAAAAATATATTGTTTGTAAAATGGCTAGGTATCTTGGATAACGTATAATACATAGAGGAATCATATGTGGCGCAAGAAACTGTCAACACTGTTATTAGAACGATGGGGGAGGGTGGGTAGAACTTTTCATGGGGAAAAATAATTATTAGTACCGATGACGGAAAAACGACCAATGCGGCCGGTAACGCTTGAACAGTCGGGGAACATTGGGACATTGGAACATTGGGGATACGCCCCGCGTACGATAATTTTGAGGTAAATTCGACGGTACCGTTACTACCGGCGTAAATGTAACGCAATCGCACGAGCATATTGTATTATACTCTGGTGGCGGGGACTTCTACACCCCAAATGCAACGGAAAAAAAATCCTCATAACCGTTATTGGATTCTCAATCCTAATTAAGGGAAGTACTTCGACATTTGTGTTTTTTTCTGCTGAACACGATATTAATTGATAACAACGATCATATCTACTAAACCGTTGATTCTACAACAAATTCGAATACACTGCTGAAAATTGTATTTAATTGGCTTCACGATAACGTATAACAAGGCTCCTATGCCGTTTTTATTGGGCGAATGGAATCACGCGGATCTCATTTAACGTCAAAGTTTTGAAAAATTCACAAAAATTGTCACAGAAATTCCTTTGAAGGTAACGACGGTGTGGCAAGACGGAAACGGCGAACGCGCGCGGTAGCGTCCTCTCGAAATATTTATTCACCATGATGATGTAATTCAACACGAATAACGCGCAATAATAACAATTATTAATAATATTAGGCTCGCGGGGTATTACGCTCAGACGGTTTATCTGTCCCGGGGCGGGCAGTGGCGGGGAGGGAGCAGCCGATATATTAAATTTTTATCGCGTCGACGCGAGCTTATCGGGCCCGGACCGGTTTTCGACGGCGTGCACGTGTACCTAACCCGAATAACCGCTCCGTAATATTGTATTTTTATTTCTATAAAACAATATTATTCATATTCTCGTTACATTTCTATTGACGCGACGTCGTCGTTATAAATATTAGTATAATTGATATTAGGCGTAGCCGTACGCGAGCCTCTACCTATAATGTTACGTTTTATTATACTGCGTAGCGTTGTGAAAACGAGACGTGTAGACAAATCCGATACAATATAATTAATAATGTCGTGCGAATGTGCAATACCTATTACGAATGAGAGAGAGAAAAAAGAAATTAAAAGACTTACCAAAGGTCGAGTGATTTTCCGTTTGAACTGCGAAAATTTGGACTGCCAGCGTTGGGTATATTATTATAATGGTGTATTGCGATTTTTTTTTTATCGCAAATAAAAAGGAAAAAACGACCGACGATACATAAAAATATAATATGTATTATAGTAAATGTTAGTGTGAACGAAAAAAACAAAAACTAGTCGATTAATTAGTTATTTCGAAAAAAACAGTGTTCGGATACCGGAAAATTTTGTTTGCGATATTTTCCAGTCCGTGGATCGTACGTGGTGATACGATATAATAACAATAAAATATTGTCCGAGATAGTAACGAAACGATATTTTTTGTAGATATAAATTATATACTTTATAAATGTGAAAACAGAAAAAAAGAAAACAACAACAAAACAAAAAAAAAAAAAAAAATAACGTTTTTATAATATACTATATATTTGTATTAACAACTAAAGGAACAGAACGGCAGAACGTACGGAGCGCGTGTGACAGACCGAATGCGAGGCGGCCCGGCCGGCCGCCACGACGAGCGTCGCCTCGGGGGCTCCGGCCAATATGATGATTGACGTCACGGCGAGTACGTCACGGGCGGCAGCACCGTTGCTAGGGGTTCTGACGTCACGGCGGCCCACGCGTAGGCGTACGCTAGCGAGCATACGCGCACGCACACGCACGTTGCTACGCCGTCCGGGATGCTTCCCGGGGCGGCGACAGCGTTCGCCATTCCGCCGCGTTACCGCCACCCTCCACCCTACGGCACACACACACACACACACACACACACACATAATATATTATACGTACACACACACATACGCATACTTACACCTACACACAAACACACACAAGTTCCAAAGGCCGAACTCGCGACTCACTCGCTCACCTACCACCACGCCGACTCACCGTCACCTCCCACCGCTCAGACGCTCCGGAGCCGCGCGGGCTACAGGGGTGGAGGAAACTTCCCGCGAGCGACCGAAATCGAAATCCAGCGACACAACAAAATTATTATTATGAAGCCCCTCTCGAGCGATGACGGCGGCGGGGCGGTTTAAATTCCATGCGGGACGGAGTGTAAAACACATAGGTATATACACAAGTGAAACGAGATGACGTCAAACGTTTTGCGTGAAACTCGCTGCGGTGAAAAAAAAAAAGGTTCCTATAATATTGAAATAAAACATTATCAAAAAATGCGCTTGAAATCTTTCCTCTCCGAAAGAAAAATATGAAAAAGGAAAATATAGATAAGTCTCAAAAATAAAAACAATTTTTTGTGCGTTCAGAAAACTTAGATAAAAATAGATTATTATTAAGTAATTATTGTAAGTAAGGAAGTTGGAAAGAATGATATATTTGGCGATTTAATTTATATCTATACGCAAAGATAAACCGTTGCTAACGAAAAACGATTCTGAACAAAGTATTATATTAATCGCATTTTTCCCTTGTTGACAAGATAACCCAGAATCATTAATTGACAGTTTTCCTCGTTTATAAAGAAAACTACTAGAAAAATTAAAAAATGACGCCTTCATTGTATCAATCAGATGGAAGGAAAATAACATAAGAAAGTTTTTGATTAGCGCGAGATGTCTGATAGAACATTTGTTTACAGACACAACAAATGTCACTATTGTAGGTGAGAAGTTAGAATAACAGGATACATCAAGTTATTTTATTTATATTTTTATGTAACAATAAACCGTTGCTAATAAAAAAAAATTCAGAGCGAAGTTCAGTTATACATGTTTTGAAAGGCCGTAATATTTACTATTTTCTTCAAAATTTGATATTAATACTCTTATAAAAAAAATACTACCTGTATTACACTTAATTTTTAATTTTTTGACTACTAAATATGAATTATTATGAACTTTCTTTAATTTTTAAAATTTTCAAGCATTTCTGTTTAGTCTAACAATTTTATCCACAGATTACCAAATAAAAATTACGTAAAAAACATGCAAAATTTAAATATCTATAAACAGCTCAAATATTTTAAACATTTTACCATATCTAGAAAAATCAAATGTACATTTTTTTGTTAAAATGTCAAGCTCTACGAATATGTTAAACTGAATTACAACAGAAAACTAAATTGAAAATAATAAAAACATTATTTTCGTAAATTTCCCCGTTCTTTCTAAGTTTTTTTCTTCAGTTTTGCTCAATTATTAAAAGAAACCCGATTTTCTTACCCACCATCTATGTTTTTTTATTAGAATGATATTTCTAGTGTAAAACATAAGCCGAAAAACTTTATAATAAAGGAATCACACGCTATTTATATTTGTTCGATTTTCATTTTTCGTCCTTTCTGATTATCCAAATTATTTAGAAAATTACTCTAAAATAAAAAACTGACTTTTTTCTTGAGCAACTAAATTCAAAATAAACAAAAGAGCCAAGAGGTCTCTTGTTGTTTTTATATTAGAGCAATATTTCTGGTAGAAAATATAGTTTGCAAAAATGAAAAACAATTAAATCGGTTAACGCTGTGGTGCACTGTAAATATTTTCCGTTATTAATTTTTTTCGGTTATTTAAAATGTGTTTGAAAACCCTTTAGAAAACCAAAAATTGAGCGACTCATTGCACCAATTAGTTAAAATTACATTTCAGAAAAGGTGCTACAATTGATACATCGGAGCAAGATTTTTAGTAAAAAAGTTACTCACAGACACATTCAAAAAAACACACACATCATAGTAAAACCAATACATTTTTCGCTTTGGTCAGAATCTAAAATAAAATAAATATTTATTTTTTTTACTATTTTAATATTATCTGAACAAATCACGCAATAATAATTTTATTCGTGACCTCTGTTTTTTTTTGTTCATTTTTCCCAGAAACGGTTTTTTTATTAATACCTATTCAATATTAAAGCTATACCGAAATTATACTATAATAACGTTATTTATTTTGTTCCGGTCTAATATTGTAATAATATTTTTGTTTGGTTTTTGAAAAAATAAAATTATCAATAAATTCACGTGACGTTACTATGGGGAATATTAAAAAACAAAATTATTTTATAAATACAGGGGAATATTAGAAAATAAATACTCCAATATACATATCATACCCATCTACGTATTATTATAACGTTATTCGTCTCTTTTCTTTTACGATCCCGTGCATTTTTATTTATTTAAATATTCATAATAACTAAGTGTGTTATTATACTATAATCTGCATAAATCTAACGACCTTTTTTATTATTTTTTAAAAACAATTATTTTTATCATTGTGCGACAGATTTTTTTTACCGTTTTTATGTATATCTTAAAAACGAATTTTTTGTAAACCGACCTATACATTTACAGAATTTATTTTTGCACGACAAAGATTTGCATATTAAATTAATGTTTTGTAATACATTTTTATTTACTCGCGAAACGAGTGTACTGCATCAGCACTTGGGAATCGGAATCGTTATTATTGTACTTAGGCTTTCAGTAAATAAAAATCAAATTATATCTTTTAATATCCTATTATAGTATATACCTACCTGATCTCCGATTTCACAATTGAAACTGCAGTGGTCTACCCTCGGTGTCAAAAGTATGTCCGGTTGCCTTTATTATTGTTTTTGTTTTTAAAAAAGGCCGGTATTCTGTGTGTTCTTCGATGAACTTGATTATCATTTTGAAAAAACGCCGAATTGCATATCTGATTGAAAGTCAAGTAACACCGATTTATAATAAAACGCAGAATGCTCAATCACGTGATTTTAGAATATCAAAATAATTATTTGATAATAATAAAAATATAAAATATATTACATTAATACAATTATAATTATTATATTTAATATGAGTGATTTATCGTGCAACGTTGTGTTTAATTTAATACAAATACATAAAAAAACAACAATAACAAAAATAAATTTAAAAAAGTGTTTGTTTTTATTATTATTGAAATAAAATAATTAATTAATTAACACAAACATGAAACAATGAACATGAACAATTCATGTAAAACGGAAAAAACCGGTATGGCTAAATGGTGATAATACCACATAGTTATGATAACATATCATTTAGCAAACCGTCTAATTTATAGGTTGATAACTCAACGTATCGAGAAGTAATCTGATAAGTAATCAGATTAATCCAATTTGATGGAGAACATCGAAATAAATAAGATTGTTTATCTGATTAATAATCTAGGTTGTCAAGGAACATACGGATTGTTGATGAGTATACCACCGTTTTAGAAAAGAAGTTGGAAGAAATAATGTACTGAGTATAATTTAATTTAGTTTATATCTATATGTAACTATAAATCATTGCTATTGAAAAACGATTCTAAGCAGATGATTATTTGTTATAATTTTACCCTTTTTTCAATGTAACCCAAAAATCAACAATAATTATACCAAATAATCTCAATTTTTCTATTTATTTAGACAATCACAAAGAGCTGATATACTGCTGATGGGTGCGTCACTGTTACAGATAGAAAGTTTCACTGAAATACAATAAAAAAATCAAAATCAAGTATAAAAGACGTTTTTCTTGATTTCCCCCCATTATTAAGAGCGTAACAAGGAAAATAATCTTCTCACTGTACCGACTAAACAATACCCATTTTCAACTAAAATTCATCCTCCCTAAAGTTGATAATTTTGGCCAAATGTTTGGTAGAAAAGTTGTTTATAGACAGAAAAAATAGCTAGTACTGTAGATGGGTGTGTCACTGTCGTAGGTGGGAAGTTAGGAAATTAAGGTACATAATGTTATTTAAATTATATCTGTAAGCAATGGTGAACTATTGTTAACGAAAGACGATTCTTAGAGAACATACATTATTTTTAAATATCGTAATATTTACGATTTTCATATAAATTTGATTTTAAAAAACTTAAATATTACGCCAAACTATTTTTTTCAACTTATAATGTACTTATGTTAAATTTTTAAACAATTTTATCGACATAGTTCCTACTTAAGAAAAACTCCTTACAATAACTATAAAATGTGAAATGTCTATAAATAGGTTAGAAATGTTTTGAATATTTTACCACTTCTAGAAAAGGTCAATATAAGTTTTCTGTCAAAATTTTAAGTCTCTACGAATATTTTGAACTGGATTACAAGAAAAAAATAAAATTAAAAATAATGAAACCCGCATTATATCTGTAAACTTTCCCGTTCCTTCTACGTTTTTACCAGTTTTGCTCAGCTATGAAGAAAACTACAGGAAAAATAAAAATAAAAAAATTTTCTGATTCATCAACTAGATTCAAAATGTAACGGAAAAAATGTCTTGTTATTTGTTGATTTGAGTAATATCCCTAGTAGAAAATATATACTCTACAAATTTAAAATAACAAAATCATACGCCGTAAATTTGTCATTTACATCTCGCGTATTTTTCCAATATTATAAAAACTCCTTCGATAATCAAAAAATCACCTCTGTAAAATACAAAAAGTTTACTGACAGAAAATACAAACCTATATAGCAAAATCAGTGGAACCATCACTACACTTAGAATCTAAAATGACCTTCCCCAGTGCACCAATTATATCAAAAATGCTATAAAAAAGTTCATTTGATACAAATACGATTTCTGCAGGCTTTTAGTGCCCAAATATGTTTATATTATTGACTACAACATATTACAACCCTTTTTATATTTTCACGGCACCCAAACGTACAATGATTGGGGTCATCTATTATCGTCAAAACGTTCATCGTCTGGTTTTTTAGTGATTCTGGCCGTCGGTTTCTTCCACCATCAAAAAATTAGTAGTTTTATTATTAATCAAATATACTTAAACGAAATATAAAATTTACTTTTATATTTACTTTTTTATATTAGATGTAAATTTAACACCTAAAATAAGAATTATTATATAGGTTATATACTTTCGCTAGATACACAATTAATATTTTACTAATTAGCCACTTTGTGTCTTTGCCATCTTATAATATAAAACGTTATTATTTTATAATAATTCGTAATATATATTATAGTTTTTGGAAGTATGAGGTGAGGAGCGTTTAATTAATTTAATAGGTACTAGGTAGGTATCTGTATCTATATTATTATATAGATTATATTTTCGTTTAATCTTCCAATTACAACTTTAAATTATAACATACCTGCAACTTACATAACGAGTGATATAGTGCAATTTAATAAATCATTAATCCCAATATTAGATATGTAGGTATACGCTTATGAGTAAGTTTTTTATTATGTACTAAGCACATTCATTGATATTTGCTAAGCTTTAAAATATAATTTAACTACACACATTTTGAATAATTATTATTATTATGACATCTATACTATTAATCTTGCCCGAGCCAATTTAATTTACCTCCTTTTATTTTTTTTATCATTTAAAAGCGTTTCAAAAATCCTTTCAAAACCCAAAGAAAATAAAAGAAAATAATCTCAATTTAACATGTATCCCAGTTACCATTCCTCTCTCCGATTTTATCTATATATAAAGGAAATATAGTTACTCAACTCCTACTCGAACAAAACGGTTTGGTTAGTTAACATACTTCCCTTCCACAGTGCTAATTGTATGGAAACATGTTTCTTCATATTGGGTATATATATAGCACTTATTATCACGATTGCATACCTATACTACCCTGTTATCCTGTTGTCAAGAAGCACCCTTTTAAACAAATCATTTTTTCAACCTAACCTAGTTAAATATTTATATCTTCTTTAACTATGTATTTTTATCACAGTTAACTGTTACTGTGCTTTCTTTCCAGAAAAAATAAATAAATTAGTAAACTAATAATAACCGTTTTTCTTTATTTCATTTGTATTACCAAGGTCGGGGTTGCCTAATTGTGTCCCAAAATGATTCTTTTTAATGTCCCGAGTGAGTCCAGAATATGGGATAACCCGAGTGCGTTCAAAGAAAAAAAAATTGTTTTCAAAATAGTCTGAATGCGTCACAGTTTATTTAAAGTTACCCAGGATGTACCACGAGATGGTGAACTGACTTACATCCCAAAAATTGTTTTAGATTCCGAGCGTAGCGATGTTTATTTTTTTTCTTTGTTCATTGTTCTCGGGTGTAAACATGGTTTTTCCTAGTAAACTTGCTCTGATTTTACGTGTAGGAACTTTTCTAAAAGCTCAATTAGTCAAATAGTATTTTAAAAAGCTCATTTTTTGATTTTCGATACCTTAAAAAGCACTTAAGTGGAAAAAAAACATAGGAAAATGTACAATTTCACGATTTCATCTTTTTATAAAATCACCAACGTTTTCTATCAGAAAAAAATGATTTAATCAAAAAATTACAAAAAACCTTTTTTGTTGCTTTTTTGATTTAATTTCTTCCGGTATCATCACCAAAACTTTTGAGCTTTTAAGGAATTTTAATTTTTGCTGTAATTCGTTTATAATACACGTAAAGACTTGAAACTTGGTAATAATATATTAATATATATTAATATATTAATTTTACCTAGACGTGGTCAAATTTCCAGAATTATTGGACTTTTTTTTTCTTAATAAACGTTTTAAAATTAAATTTAAACGAAAAATCGCAAAATATTACGACATTTCAAATTATGTATTACCGAATTGCGCTCGGAATAAATATTTTTGTAAAACTATAAGCTTTTTCGCTCCGTTCAGAATCTAAAATGTTGTCTATTACTATAGGTTGATGTTTAAATGCCATTATTTTGATAAAATCCAATCTGGATATTTCATTAGTTCAATACTGGTTAATATATTGTCTCTATGGTCATTTTGATTGTTATTTCAGTGTCCATTTGAATTTTTTTTCAATATTTTTAAAAATGTATAAATATCTGGGTGGTATGTATAAAATAAAACATTTTCAATAAGATTCTGGGCGCATTTCGGTGGTTCAATATTATTTACTGATAAGATTTTCAGACGCACTCGGACTATGGAAAAGGTAAAAATGTTATACAGGACGCACTCTAGATATGCCCACCAAGGTAACCAAAATAATCAATAAAACAAAATTCAATTTTCGTATAACAAAAAAACCAAAAATCTTATGTGAGCCATCCTTTAGGGATTGAATTTCGGAATTCCGGATTCGAGGTGCATACAGATTACAGACCCGGCCGTCCGCTTACTGTATGGAAATTTTTAGACCTCTGCGTACAATAGATGTATAAGATAAATTTCACCGTGGGTTTCTTATAGCGTTTTCTACTGTACCGGATACACTGGTTTACATTTTTACGAGTATGTTGCACGTCAAATACTGGTGCGCAACCGGGTAATCTTTTCTGTGTTCTACTTCCCTACACTTAACCAGCTTTTTTAACTCAATACATTGATAACTACGTGACCCACACGAAAGTGGGCCTTATCATTTTCAGATAATATCTCATTGATATATGATATCGCTAACTAAAATAGTTTGTGATTTATATTATTATAAAAAACCTATACTTGTAAATTATTTTAACCTAGTATTGTAATTATGGACAAATAGAACATTTTGTGAATAATTTTAAACAATAATTTTTATTTGAACGTATCTATAAATTATCATATTCAATTTTAAAATTTAAAAAGTCAAAACTCACTGAACTAATCACGAGAAAAATATGCGACTATGCGTGTCATTACCGAATTGACGATAGTAATAACGCTGCAATACGATAACAAAATGATAAATATATCTTACGAATATGACGTGTTTCATCTGCTCTTGCACCAGTATTATTATTAGTGAACTGTTCTAGTGTAATGCATAACTACTATATTTAGTATAATAAATTGCATATTTTACAATCATATGGAAAATGCTATTAATATATCTTAATCTGTAGTGATTACTGATATATTTTGTTATGCGTGTATTCGTTTTTTTTCTAATATACGAGTTTATCTAATGATATTTTAGTGCGAAAAATGAAATTGTTAATACATTAATTTTGGATAGCTATTTGAAAAAAAAAATATTCGAAATTTCATTAATACTGGTACACTCCGCGTAAAACGTGTATGCCGATAATGCGTTGAATAATAATTATACATTTCTTTAGTACGTACAAGTTCTCTTTACATCAGAAAATAATAATGCAACTTTCAAGCATATAAAATATGGAATAATTATCGATACACGACGACATATATCATTGATTCGTTCATGTTGATAATATTAAAGTATCGCGATAAACAGCTGAAGAGGTTGTTTATTATTTTTTTTAGAGCACTGGGTCAAGTCAAAAATATTATGTTTACGCCCATTCGATCGGCGAGCTTGCAGTAGTGCGAGCAAGGGGGTGCGCACGTGATGGTGTCCTCGTGCCGGGCATTATAATACGACGCTCGCTACACAAGAATCTATCACAGTGCGATGTATGACGACAAATTATTTTCCGCAGTCGGTGATTTTTTTTTCATATACCATATAGGTATATTATATAATAAAAAAAAACGAAAGAAAAAAAAACCGCCTCGGTAGATATAATAATAATATTTTCTATATAATATACTGCAGGTCCCATACGCGCAAAAGGTCATATTCCGCCCCCGAGGCGATAACGCCATAGTGGGGTGAGTATCTATACATACACGGTAATAATAATATTATTATATAATAATCCCCGAGAAACCCGACGGCTATATGCATCGTATAATATTTGTTACAATGCATTATGTAGACTCCTAAATACAATTACGTTTTTCTATAGTATCTGAAGCATTTTTTTTTTTGTTTTTTAGATTCTGAACGAAACGAGGAATTTATCGGTGATTTTTTTTCAATGATGGTTTTTTTTTTTGTTTTGCTTGTAATCAACTTTTTTATCAGTTATCTTACGCCAGTTAAAAGCTTTAAAAGAACTTTATTGTATAATTTTTGATCTAGTTGGTGCAGTGAGGAGGTAATTTTATATTTCCCTTGGAGTTTTCTTAATGAGAAGTATGGCAATTTTTTTGTTTAATTTTTGTAAATTTCTGGGTTACGGTAAAAATTACAAACAATTACACTCTTCCCAAAATTGTGTTTCGTTAGCAATGGTTTATTGAAGCGTACAATTTATAAATAAATACAATTAAATTACTTTATGTTTTCTCTCTTCCTCCTAAAAGAGTGGTCCACACAACAACAGTAAAATTACCTTTTTAAAGTACCTCCCCAGTCAAATTTCCTTTTGGAAAAATTGTTATTGCTGGTAGAAAAGTTGTCCACTGAAAAAAAAAACCGTAATATTTTACTAATATATTTCGTACATTTTCCGGTTTTTCCTCCTTTTTCTTCTTCAATTTTTCACATTTGTTGAAGAAACTCTTGGGAAAATCGATTAATTTCCCTCTTGTATCTTACAT